GATCTGAGTTCTTGTCGATGCTTCGTCCGGGATTGCAGTCATTGTCGTGAAACGAGGTGTTGTCGGTTGTGACAGCGCTGTCATGACCGGGCGCGAAGGGTACTGTCGCAGAGCCGCAGACGGCGGCTACGACCTATCAAAGATGAGATACTACGAGAAGCAATGGAGGCCTATTTGATCAAGACTTTTGCCCATGGTTTGTTAGGAATGACAGTCGGGAAGCGTTGTCGGGTTGGTGATCGCGGTGCTACTGTTCGTGTCTGGACACGAGAACATTGCTGTAGAGCCGCGCATCGCGGGTACGGCCTGGCAAAATTGATATCGCGACAAAATTAATCCAAGACTGGTTGATGTAGCTTCGTGTCGATGGTCTGTCTGAGATGGTAGCCGGTATCATGAGGTGAAGTGCTGCTGTCTTGGTTCAATCGCGACGCAGCTCTGTGTCTAGACACAAGGGCACCATTGCAAAACCACAAATCGCGGATAATATAGAGAATATACTTTTTTCCTAGCGACTGCATTTTGGAGATTAGAGTTATCTTATTGCTGTCATTATCGTCGAATTGCAGTCCATAGCTTGCGACCGTGTTCCCGCGTTCACTGACCATCTGCCTAATGTCGAAAATCATCATCACGAAGTCACAACTCTCCGAAATAGCAAGATAGAATGGCATCGTTTCAATCATTCAGGTCTTTTATTTCAGTAAATACTGTTACTTGAGCTATATAAGTATTATTGCTGTCAATATCGCCGATTTGCAAGTCTACATTCTGTGACCGCCTACCCTGTTGTCCGCTCCGCTGTCCAATGTCCAAGACAACAGAAGGACATATTGCAGAGCCACAGGTCTCCAAAATAGTAGAAAATAGGAATGTTGCCTCAATCTCTTAGGTCTTTTACTTTGGTAATTCCCTTTACTTTAATTAGATCAGTCTCGTTACTGTCAATGTCGCCGAGTTGCAGGCTGACGTCTGCTGTGTAATGCCCAAGATTAAAGGACGTGTCGCAAAGCGATAAATCATAAGAATAGCCAGATATATTAATATCATTTCAATATTCACAATGTGCTGCTCCAGGAATGACCTTCATTTGAACCTTAAAGGCATTACTGTCGCCAGAATCGTTGAGTTACAAGTGAGCAATTGCAACAGTTATCCAATTCCGAAGACCAGAAGGACGTGTCGCAAAACCACAAATTATAGAAATAGCAAGAAATAATAATAGTACCTCAATATTTAGAGTTGATTACCCCAGTGATGATCTTTATTTGAACCAGAAAGACGTTATCGTCGCCAGAATTGTCAAGTTACAGTTGAGCAATCGACGACAGTTGTCCAATTCCCGAGACCAAAGGACATATCGCAAAACCATAAATCGTATAAACAGCAAACTATGGTAGTAAACCCTCAGTATTTGGAGTCTATTGCTACAGTGAAGATATCAATATGAATCATAAAAGCATTGTTGACGCCATTATCGCCGAGTTACAAGTCAGTAGTCGCCTACAGTTGACCCGGAGGACGTTATTGCAGAGCATCAGATCTCAAAGAATACGCTATTTAATATCATTCTCTCAATCACAAAAGTTCTTTTTCTCGGCAGCTGTATTTGTTTGAACCTGAGAAGCGTTGTGGCTGCCAATATCGCTGAGTTACAAGCCTATGGTCTGCGACTGTCTACCCAAAAGGGCATTGACACAGAGCAGCACATCAGGGAAATGACATGCTAAATGACCAGTTAATTAGTCTATAGGGCATCATTTGCCGGTATGTGCTTTTGTTTGAACTAAAAAGGTGTTATCGCCGTCAATATCGCGGAGTTACAATCGAGCAGTCTACGGCCATCTACCCAAGAGGATGTCATTGCAGGGCAGCATATCGTAGAAATAACATACATCAGTACCAGAGATATAATTCAAAAAGAACGGTTTCTCAGTATCTACCCTTATTCGATTCAGAAAAATGTTATCGCTGTCAATATCGCGGAGTTACAAGAGAGCAGTCTGCGACCGTCCGCCGTGCTCGACGACGAAGCTGTATATGGCAAAAAACACAAAACGGCATATCATCCAAAAGACTTATTTTAATACCGGCGACTAGATATTTATGACCTGAAATTTCATTATCTGTCTTTATTTGAATCAGAAACGCAGTATTGCTGCCAATATCGTCGAGTTACAGGTCCGCAATTCGAGACTGTTTACGCGTCTGTCAGGCTCAATGGCAGAGCGGTCCAGCGTCTACAATAATGAAGATAATGAAACGAGATGAGCGATGCCCGGTTGAAAGGCCCCAACTGAATCTATTAAGACTCAATGAAGTGAATTTTGCCCATGTGAACGTCCTGTTGTCGCGCCCTCGCTCGTCGTTCTGCTACTATAGCTTCAATCGCTACCGAGACACGACATCTACTCACGACGAGCTGAAGGCCTAATCTCTTCGCTTTAACAATAATCATGTCGCATAGCACGTAAGAGAAAGTGTACAGGACCTTACTTTTAATCCAGAGGCTCGTCGTGGTTCCGCATCTCAAACGCTCTGTCGCCATGAGTTGCTGCCGACGTCCACAACGCTGACGACTACAACGTTGGCGATAATGAGATACACTGTACAAGCATCAACTAAAGGGCTCAGATAGAGGGTGCTAAGACTCTATGTGGTGAAGTTCAGCGATGTCTTGTTGTGCTGTCGTCGCTCGTCCTGTTGCTCAATTGTCAATGACTACCACGACACGACATCTGCACACGACGAGCGCAAGACCGATTCCCTTGTCTTTAGCAACATCTCGTGTCGCATGATCCGTAAGAGCAAGTCTACGGTATCAGTTACGAGCCACGAGGCCTCTTCATCATTCCTCATCTCGTTTGTTCTGTCGCTACGAGGCGCTCGCTGCCTAATGTCCATAACAATGAAGAGAATGAGACGAACTACACAAGGCTCAATTTAGATGTCAAAATAGCAGTTCTCGAGGCTCTCTATAGTGAAATTAGTCGACTAGAACGTCGTGCTGCGATATCGCCGCTGATTCTGCTGCTCAATCGTCAATCCGTTACCGAGACACAACGCCCGCTCACGTCAATCCTTGCTGAGACATGACATCACTACACGATGAGCGGAAGTCCCATTCCTTTGGCTTTTATAATGTATCATGTCGAATGGTCCGTAAAAGCAAGTGTACTGCTCTCGCCACAAGTCGCTCGCTGCATGACATCAACAACAATGAAGATAGTGAGATAAACTATACAAGCCTCAGTTAAGAAGCCCAAATAGAGTGAGTTACGACTTTCTGTAGAGAAATATGGCTTGAGAATGCCCTGTTGTGATGTTGCCGCTCATCGTCTCGCGGCGCGATCGTTAGTCGAAGCATCGAAGCATCAACTGCGACGAACGAATGCTCTATTGTCTTCACTTTCGCGATAACCTGTGTCGCACGGTCCATCAGAGTGTACCTACTATAACTCGAATCATCTCGATTGTTCTGTTGCTACGAGTTGTGGTCTTCTCCCCATCGAGGTCCCCGACAACATTCTCGACGAGACTGACCAAGACGGCCATTATCGCGCTGAACAGGCCCAACTACGAATACACTGAAATAAAATACTCAGTTCATAACTGATGGGTCGTCATTGTATATACTAAGACTCATTGCAGTGAGTTTAGTCAATTGGACGCCTTTCTGTGATGTCGTTCTGTACAAAATCGTCAATTGACCATCGAAGCAGCATGTCCGCTCATGCCGAACCAAAGCTCTATTGACCCGGCTTTTGCAATACACTGTATCGCGTGACTCACTATGTTATGCCTGAAAGAATATAACTCACCTCAATTGTTTTGTTGCCACGACTTACTGCATTGCATTGTCACTACCGAGCTCAGCCACAACATTCTACGAGACTGCCGGTGGCTGCACCAGAGAACCCCAACATCGGATATACTGATATAAAGTGTTCAGTATCTAATTGAGGAAACTTGGTTATGTATGTTGAGGCTCATTGAAGTGACATCAGTTGATTGGGACGCTTGTTGTGATGTCGTAGCTCGTTGCTCTGTGCGCAATCGTCAGTCGTCAACCATCACCATTGGTACACATTGCTTACAACGAATGAAGGCCTTGTTAACTTAGTTCTCGCAATAATCATGTCGCTCGGTTCATTAGAGCATGCACGAGAGAGTTTAAATCATCTCTTGCCTTGTACCACGAGTAGCTGCCTTCTCTCCGCTGAGGTCCGCGACAACATTCTCACTGATGCTGCGAGACTGATCAAGAATGCCGTCCCCAACAGCAAAGATACTGAGACAAACTGTTCGGTATGCAATCACGTGGCCTCTCTTATGTCTGTTGAGGCTCCTTGGAGTGAGTTAGTCCCATGAGATGCCCTGTTGTGATGTCGCTGCTCTCGTTCCGCTGGTCAATCGTCAATCATCACCATCGAGCCACTACATTCCTCGCGACCAACAAAAGCTCGTTTGACCTAATTTTGCAATAACCTGTATCGCTCGGTCCATTAGAATATGTCTAAGTAAGCGCGGTTCGCCTCCATTGTTCTGTTGCGACAAGCTGGGGTCTTGGAACAGCCGCCCTCCCATTGCGATGTTCAATTGTACAGCCTTCAACCACCATTGTCGTCAAAAGCTCATCCGCCTTCCTCTCGGAGGTTTCAATTGACTTCCTGAGCCTTAATACACCAGTCATGGATCTCTTTAGCTTGTCAATTCCTCTGCGACGGTTGCCCGTGCTCACGCCCAAGCCGCCCGGTTCAGCGAACTGATCGGGAACAATCGTCAAGGACGCTGATTCACTCTCAATTCCCAGCATATATGCGCAACAATCGCCATTTAATTGCGAGGCAATTGTTACTTTCTCTCGTCAACCCTCTTCCGCCTCCTCGACTTCTGTATGTACCCCGGGCATCCTGCGACGAGTGTCTTGATTGACAAACCACGAACACCATCAACATCACCAACTTCCAGCAACTCGGCAATAGGACACCACTGCAGTCATGTTTACTCTCATCTCCCACAGCGAGACCACCCGAAAGGCCACCAAGAAAGCCTCCCGCGTGATGTCCAGCCTTAAAAACACCCTCTGGTCAACCTTCTCCAAGACCCCCAAGCAGCAGCCTAAGGAGCAGAAGCCCAAGTACCAACTCTGTAGCAACCCCAGCATCACTATTACAGATGCAGAGACCGGTGAAGAGTGGGAGTTCGTCGACCATGATGAACTCGACGGTGATCTCGCGAACAGCGACGACAATGGCACTTTGAGAGAGGAACTCAAGATGAATGCGCGCGAACAGGAGGATCTTCTGTATTCACGACGCTGGATGAATTAGGCTTCCAGTATGGTGACTGCGCTGCCACTGCAATTGCCAGTTTCGCCGGTGAATTTGACTGGCACGGACAGAGAGATATGCTGTCTGTTCGGCGAACTCGCGAGTGCCAGTGGAACAAGAGATCTCTCAACGACGGCTGCATCGCCTCAAGATTGAGAATATATATCCTCGATCTCTCTAGCCTACCCAACTCTCATCCCTTTCCTTCAACCATCCTCGATATCACTTCCTACCCGACTTCCTTGGGATCAGCAACCATCAACACCAAACACCAACCTGCACATCTAACCTTGGACGCCCTACATAATAGCCTTCTTCGCTATCCCCAGGACCCTCCGACTACCGACAACAACCTACACCCAACTTACCCCAAAACAACCGCCATCATGGGCATGCAGATACCTTCCGACCCATCCATGGAGTGGCCCGCAGAGCCCGCGAAGCCTGGCATGTTCTCCATGCTGGCCAAGAAGTTGACTACCCTCATCAAGGGCAAGTCCGAGGAAGAAAAGGACCACGACCTCAAAGAAAGCACCGTCGTCTTCGCTGAAGACGCCACCGAGCCATGGGAAGTCATCCCCGCCATCAAGGACGACCCTTGGGCTGTCATCGTTGTCGACAAGCAGCACCAGGTGCTCACAACTTTCGACGACGGCAACGGCAATCGCCAGAGCCAATTCGAGCGAACCTACCAGTACGAGTTTGAGCGCCGAGTGCAAACATCCTTCCGCCTTGCGCGTCGTGGGGCTGACATGCGTGCCAAGTAGATGTGCCCTCGTAGGCCGCAGAAGTAAAGGTTGTACACGAGTGAGTGAGCTTTCTTTGTAGTGTTTTCGGGCAATGCTAAGTATGCGCCCCCTGAAATGGGATCTTGGTCGTAGATTAGACTGACTGTGACTAGGTAGATTGGATGAGCTTTCTATAGATAGACTGTAGATAGACGACTTGGACGATGGGAATAGAGCGAACGGGAAATGAGGGCATTGCGATTGACTGGACGGACTGGATAGATAGTCAGATGATAGTACACTATTGTATTAAAGCGTCTGTAGATAGGTATTTAATCTGTTGCCCTCATCATCGGCCTCTGAGGCCATCTCCACTAAACTGTGTCGTGTCTAACATAGAAAACTTCTCAATCTCCCTTCCTCATGTGTATATCATCTGTCAACAAGCTCACCAGTGATGGTTGAACAGGTAGCCAGGAGGACTGCCTGTTCGGTATGACTGCTCGCTGCCCCCAGTCCTGCTTGAGCGTCCAAGACTCGCACGACTGGCCATGTCACGCTTGCTACCCTTTGTAGTAAACGAGAACTCGGACTTAGCATCCGCCTCCGAATTGTCCGTGGATGTAGAGATCAGTCTGCGCTCCTATTCTGCAACTTTCTCTCCGCCTCCGCGCCAGAGCCCATAGAAGCCCTCACAATTCTTCCAAAGCTTGATGGTACCATCCTCCGATCCTGTAGCATAAAGCTTGCCATCAGGCGAGAATGCAATTGACCATATAGGTCCGTGGTGTCCTTTGTGTACGTCAAGTTCCTTTCCATCGTCGTATCGGATAACCTTGGCCCATGTGCCGGGCTCCTCGCCGACAACTAGCTTGCGACCCTTGAGATCGAGCGAAACACTGGCGATGGTATAGTTCAGAGGAATGCGCTTGAGCTCATCCATAGCATTACGGCCACCCCAGAAGTACGCCGTCTTTCCAGCAGCAACAGCGAGAACTGGCAATCCGCCGCCAATGTCGGTAGTGGAGGCATACTGGGGAGCCAGTGACACCATCTCACAAGACTTGATGTCTCCATCAAGAACTTCGTGTCGAATGCAAGCTCGGCTAGGCAGGTCGAGCCATCGGATTGTCTTGTCGGATGCTGTCACAACAATGTTTGGGTCCTGGGTCCAGCAAATGAACTTGATTGAACCAGTATGAACGCCTTCGCCGATCTCGAAGCCAGCGGAAGCGGGGATTGTAGCAGGGGACCCAGTGGACGAGAGCTCTGAGAGATCAAAGATACGCAGCTTCTTCTCGAAGCCACCAGTCGCGATGAGGTCGGAGTTGTCAGGGGGGTAGGCAATGGCACGGACAATGTGATCGTGCTGCAGAGTATAGAGCAACTCGCCGGAGTAGGTGTCCCAAATTTTGCTATGTAAATGTAAGCGACGTCGGGTTTCGTGATGCGGAGTACTCACGCTGTGAAGTCGGCCGATGCAGTCGCTGCATTGCAGGTATCAGGGCTCAGTCTAGCCTGCCAAACAGCACCCTTGTGCCCGATGAAAGTGCCAATCCTATGCAAGTCAGAGGAGCTATTAGATCCAGTTGATGGTGACCTACCAGTCGCCGGTGATCCCGTTTCGAAGCATGGGGTTGCCATCTAAGTCATGTCAATATGCGCTCTGCTGAGACAGGACATTGACGCACCTTTGCAGGCTGAGATCAGATAGTAGGTGTCGGGCTTCTTCTCGATTTCCTTCTCATTTTCCTTCTCAAAGGTAGAGAAGGCGATGTGAGGGACGGGTCGAGAATGACCGTGGCAGGTCAGAGGATGGTATTGTCGAGGTTCGGAAGCCATTGCGACAGAATTGAGAAGTGAAGACGAGCGGGGAATCGGTTTGTTGATGGAAATCTAGCCAATTGCGGCCAATTGTAGTATTCGATGTCGGTCTAGAGAGTAGCGAGATACCCGATATTAATCGAGACTGTCAAAATGGGAAATGAGAGAGGCCGTAACAGTCGTATGCGTCGTTAAGAGTGGTTTGGATCGTGACTCGTGGCAGAGGTTGTCGCGTGTCGTCGCAGAAGTGTGGAGCGTCTTTCTCGAGCAAATGACAATGACGAACCCAAAACTTAAAGGAAAGAGATGGAGAATCGAAACGTTAAGGTCGTGATTGTATCGGGCCGTGTCGTGAGGTCAGAGAAGCGTGAATGTTGCCCCCAAAGCGAACCCCCTTGAGAAGAGAAAGGAGAGGGGAGAGAGGAAGAGGAGGTAAAAGGAGGGCGGTGATGAATCTGCCAAATATTTGCGAAGATGGGGAGGGCGAAACAGGTTGGACAGGGAAGGAAACGGCAACGCGCATTCAAAATGACAGGGTCACGCTTGCCCGACTTGAGCAGCGGCGGGGTTACACGACGGGGGTCTTCTTTCCGGTGGGCACCGCCACAAAGCGGGGTACAATTGGGGGCTCCCCAGGGAGCAAGAAAACTTCAGACTCTAGAAGAGGGTGCCAAAATAAACTCATTGACAAGGCCCCTAAATTTAGGCTAACTTACCTAAGTCTTTTTATCATCTAGGATTGAAGTCCTAAGTTTTATTGCCTCCCCTAGGGGCTGCAATATGATATGACTTGGACTTGAGAGACAAAGATATTGATGGTAGAGGACAAGGAATTGTTTATGAGACAGAGAAATAGTAGTCTGAAGGTGTCTGCGTGTGTCGGGCTTCCTTTGGTCCAGCGTACAGCGTTGAGAAAAGGACCGGAATCCGACGCAAGATATACTGCGTGTCCTGAGTCTTCTCACCAGCTATTTCTGCCCAAAGCTTGCTAAAGCAGTATCACCATAACGGTAGAACAATGACTTATCTTACCATGCAGCATTCCAAATTTAACCTACATATGCTTAAATGTGAAGCAATAATGCCCGATTGTTCACGACATCAAAGCCCGAGCGATATGCCCGGCCAAGTGGAGGTGGCTGGTGCTTAGTGACGCATTGTGGCTTAAGCTGGACGGGACAGATCCGACGGGAAGGGGCAATCAATCGATCAGCTTCCATTACTGACCAACAATCAACTCTACGATTTGTCACGTTTCTTTGATGGCTTTTTGACGATCCAATTTCCTCCTACTCTGTGATTCAGTTTTTGTCGTTGGCGTTACCCTTGTTTGGAGAGATAGCAGGCCGTTCTCTTTCTTGACCCTGTTGCATCATCATCCAGTCATTCATCAAGCTCTCCCCTCCACTGCATTCAGCAGTGTCACGTACTCTCATCATCCATCCATCCATCAAAACCTCCAGAAAAATGACCGACTTCAAACTGTCGGCGCAATTGGTCGGGCACGAATCCGATGTAGGCATTATTAGGCGATATTCTCTGCATCTCGAAACACTAACGGATCGATAGGTTCGAGCCGCAACCTTCCCCTCTCCCGATACCGTCTTAACCGCCTCCCGCGATTGCAGCGTCCGCGTATGGCGCCGCACCCAAGCATCTCCTCCGAACTTCGACGCAACCCTGCTGAGCCGTGGTTCCGAATACGTCAACTCGATCTCCTTCTTTCCTCCGTCCAGTGAGCATCCAGACGGCTATGTTGTCTCTGGTGGTAAGGATACTATCATCGAAGTCAAGTCCCCCAAAGCTTCCAGCTCCGATAACGCCGAACGCCTTTTAATCGGTCATTCTCACAACGTTTGCACGCTCGACGTCTCACCCGACGGGAAATACTTGGTATCAGGCGGCTGGGATGGTCAGGCGCGTGTATGGAGTCCTCAGAAATGGGAAACAGAGCTCTCGTTGAGCGGTCATGAAAGCATGGCGGTCTGGAGCGTTGTTGCATTTGATGAGCACACAGTAGTGACTGGTTGCGCCGACAAGAGCATCCGTATCTTTGACCTGCGGCAGTCCACCGCCGGCGAGGTGTCGCCAAGCTCTACCATCTACACACCTGACGTTGTCCGCGCTCTCTGTCGTGTACCCAACGGTCATCCCAGTGGTGCAGACATTGCGAGCGCAAGCAACGACGGAACAATCCGCCTATGGAAGCTGAATGGTCAACAAGTCGCCGAGCTGCATGGACACGAAAGCTTTGTTTACAGTTTGGCCAGTCTCCCGACAGGTGAGCTGGTCAGTTCGGGTGAGGATCGCACCGTCAGGATATGGAAGGGTACCGAATGTGTACAGACAATCACACATCCCGCCATTTCGGTATGGACTGTGGCTGCCAACCCCGAGACCGGCGACATCGTTACGGGTGCCAGCGATAGTATTGCCCGCGTCTTTACACGAAGTTCCGACCGTACTGCCGATGAAGCGACACTCAAGGAGTTCGAAGAGTCCGTCAAGGCGTCATCGATCCCTCAGCAACAGGTCGGGGGTGTCAACAAGGAGAAGCTTCCTGGCCCAGAGTTCCTGACCACCAAGGCGGGTACCAAGGAGGGACAGGTTCAGATGATCAAGGAGGATAATGGCAACGTAACTGCTCATACCTGGTCAATGAGCCAACAACAATGGGTCAACGTCGGTACAGTCGTTGATGCTGTCGCCAGTACTGGAAAGAAGGTTGAGTACCAAGGGAAGATGTATGACTACGTCTTTGATGTCGATATTGAGGATGGCAAGCCTCCTCTGAAGCTCCCTTACAACCTCTCTGAGAACCCTTACGAGCGAGCCACTAAGTTCTTGGGCGACAATGAGCTACCGCTCTCGTACCTCGACAACGTAGCCAACTTCATCACTGAAAATACCAAGGGAGCGACTCTTGGTCAAACTTCAGAGGCTAGCGGGCCTGATCCTCTCGGTACTGAGTCGCGATACCGACCTGGTGAGAACACCCAGCCCAAGGTGCTCCCTCAAAAGGACTATCTCAGCATTACAGCAGCCAAATACGAAGGTAAGAAGCATGTATCCAGCCTCTGTTCAATCGCTAACAATCTCAGCCATTTTCAACAAAATTCTCACCGTCAACAAGAACATGGTCTCATCGGGCCGCAAAGATGCCGCTCTAAACCCATCTGATGAGTCTGTTCTGTCGGAACTCCGCGCCGCGCTCGAGTCTAACAAACCCGTTCCCCAAACCGCTCTGCCCCTTCTCGTCCGCATCCTTACACAATGGCCCTACTCAGACCGTCTCGCCGGTCTTGATCTCCTTCGCTGCGTTGCGAAGTACCCTCTCGTCGCTCAGTTCTCTGACCCTACCGTTGGCTCCCTTCTTGATCTTGCTTTCGCGTCCTCTCTACCCAATGGCGAAACTCCCAACGAGAACGCTGCCATGATGGGTCTGCGTACCCTCGCCAATATCTTCTCCACTGCAAATGGCCGCTCGATTGTTAGTGCTCAATCGGACGAAGCCATTTCGTTCCTGGAGCGCATTGTTGGTGTTTCCTCGGAACCCATCGGGCCGTTCAATCGCAACGTCCTTATCGCTGCTACCACGGCAGCAATCAACCTCTCAGTGCTCGTCCATCGCGAGCGCCTCCTCACACCCGACCAGCGTCGCCGTCTCGCCATCCTTCTCGGCACGATCCTCTCCCGCGATGGTCAAACAGACTCAGAGGTTCTATACCGCGCCCTGGTGGCGCTCGGCACATTGCTCTCCGCTTCACAGGCGGAGGCGGCTAATCTCGGTATCAAGGGGTGGATCCAGAGTGCTGTTGGACGAAGCTCTGAGGAGCGTGTCAAATCTGTCGCGGCCGAGTGCGCTAAGGTCGCTCCGTGAATGTGATATGATGGTGACGGGTATGCAGGCAGTTGCAGCGCCAAGACGGGTTCTGCTTGACGTGGAACGGCGGATGTACGGAATTAGAAGAGAAATACATAGAATTAGCGGTAGACGATTGCCAGAGTTTGATACATGATGGCTTTGTGGTGATTATGATGCCTGTGGCGTTGTGAGAGCTGTCTGTCAATTGATCCCAATTGTGACGCATCGTCTCACTACATCTCACTCAAAACCTCAACATCTCATTCTCGCGACATTTAATCACATCAATAGTACAGTTTATGAACTTGAATAGTCGTAGATTCTCATCCAACGCGGTGTCTCAAATGAATGAAGCAGATAAAGCTCCTCCAACACCATACCACGTGCGATATCTTAGTCCCCTCAGGACAACCGCAACATTATAAAATAAAATGAAGGGATATAACAATAGTACCAAATAAACCCAGGGATATACCAAAATTCCCCGCCCGTAAAAACGCCATTCATTATGCTTTGTACATTTTTCTTCATATCGGTCTCACAATCACGCAAGCAGGGCATAGGCACCCGCTGCCACGAGCGGTAGCCAGCCTGCCAGGTTCATCTGGCGCAGGGTTTGTGTCGCGCCGGATTCGCTAACGTAGGCGTCGGAGCCGGATTGTTTGGTCGTGATGGTGTAGATCTCTGCGAAACCGATGTCGGTGGAGTTGAAGCAGTTGGTCTCGTTAACTTCGGCGATTCTCTTGTCTCCTGGCTCAGCGAAGATGATGTCGACGCACTGGAGCATGTTAGTCAGGCCCTTGACCACAAACATTGGAGGATGAGGGGACGTACAGAGTACAGAGCTGCGCCGTGGACGGCGAGTTCTACAACTTGGATTGTAGCCTTGTCACCGGCCTTTACGGTCGTGTTCTTGGGTAGAGGCACCTGAGGGAGACAAATCGTTCCGGGGAAGGGATTGTTGGTGGGACCAAGGATCTGGAACATGGGGACTACGGGCTGTGTCATGTTTGCTGGGCCGCCGTCAGGTCCGTCGTCGCCAAAGCCCATGTTCACGTAGGCGAAGGCTGTCTCGTGGCCGCGGAACCAGCCGGGCTGGAAAGCGACAGCGCCGCCTCTTGTGGGCCAGTATGTTCTGTTTGTCGTGACATTGTGACCGCCACCTGATGATGTTAATTGGTGTTTATAAGGACAAGAGAGACGGACGTACATGGGTAGATCCATTGCATGCCGTAGGGAAATGTTGCGTTGGTTATGAGGTTGTTTCCTCGCCAGCCGGGATAGGTAATTACGCTGTGTGCTGACACGATTGTCGCCAGGAGGACTGAGATGAATGCTGACGTCCTCATGATTGCGGTTTGTGTAGAATATCTCGTGAATAACTGGAGTGATACTTCTAGCAAACAGACAAAGAACAGGAACAAGGCTCAGCCTCGAACATTTAATATCACGAACCAACGATTATAATAAAGCAGAATTTCTTCGGAGAAAAAGGAAGAGGATGAGGAGGCCGCGAGTTCTGGTCTTAAGGCAGACCAGATACTGCGCAGGGTGGCCATTTTTGCAGCCGCCCAGCTCAGAATTGGATGTGATGGCCCAGTAAGAGGCCGTTGACGATGCATCTTGGAGGGTGTGACCCCTGCTGCAGAACGGGAACACACGGCCAATGGGATGAATGGGATGAGTGATTTACAGGGCTACAGGGCGTTTCTGGGCTGTGACTGGAGATGTTTTAAGCGCTGGCGCTAGACTTATTTCAGAGAGCAACCAATTAAAGAGAGTATCTAATGGGGTAGTTGGGCGGGGGTTGGTGATGGATATGCCGGTTAATGAAGACTGCAAAAAGGGGACGGTAAAGAGGTCGACTCATTTCATGGAAAGATCGGATCAGGAGAGCCGATGAACTATCGTAGCCGCGGTTGATCTGATGATACTTTTTGGTGATAGTTTGAGGCTCGGGGCTTTAGTGCCGCGTAGACGCCAAGATGGTCACATCCTTTATCCACAGAGACACAGAGCACAGACGCAGACACTACTGTAAGCTGATGGCTGTAGTCGCTCTTATCAGTACGGCTTGTGATTGGCTGTGTTTCTGTGCTCTGTGCTATCGTAGCATTTTCGGCGAGAGGTACCTTAACTTGTGCTCGTTTGGCCACGGGTTCAATCATGCGCCTTACGGATGTCTTCAATTGTGACATGGCAGGCGGAAGCAATGACGGTGGTAACGAATATTTCGCAAAGAATAGCAATCGTGTTTTCGCTGGGCTATATAAGTTGGGCAAAGGCAGACCAGTCGGAGTTTTATTCACCATCGTTTTAGACATTGAACTCAAAACGCCACTAAGATCTAGCCATCTTAAACTCACCTTGTCTTCACCGAAGCACACCGAGCCCTGTGGAGTATCAAAATCTCAGTCTTCACGACAATCTTCATTGAGAGACTCAATATAAGTGACCATCTCAACATTATTCTCCACCTTTTACACAATCGCCTCAATTGACTCATCATCTCACCTCATTTTCTGCTAATTTCCTTTTATGCGAATTGACTTTGGCTTCAAGTTCAAGATTAGCTTCACAATGTCTTCATCACAGGATTCTTCAGACTGGACAAGAGTCGTGCGCAAGGGGCGCAAGAACAGACGAAAAAATGCGGAATCTCACTCATCGAGACACGTAAAGCCTCGTACAGAAGGTCTTAGGGATCCGGAGGATTTGGAGAAGGATTACAAGCAGCATCGGAAGAGATGGGAGGAGGAAGCGTATTCTTATCCTCGTCTTCGGGAACTTGTCAAGGCGAAAGCGTCGCATTTGACGGGGATTGATAAAGCGGTTCATTTGGGCGTTGGAACGTTTGATCCGAATGATGGGCTCAATCTTGATGGCAAGAGATCTACGTTTGCGCAACTTGCGGCTTTTGAGATTATGGTTGAAGAACTTGGTACGTTTACTTACATCAATTGTACATGAACGGGGCTGATTTGAGCAGAGAAAATTACGGGCGGAAAGATTGAGACGTTCTTCCAAGACCCAGCCTTCAACGCCTCCGACAAAAAGTTTCTTGAGAATATCGGTCATACCGTTCTTGACGATCCGAAGGGTACGCAGATGGTTGATGAGAAGACGCTCTTCTTTGGTGTTCATCTTTATAGGCCTGTTTATAACTATGCGCTGAAGGGTGAACTTCCTGCGCTGTTTGTTGGGACCGGTTTTGAAGATTGGGGAGAGTAAGTTGCGCATGTTGAAGTTGATGTGAGACTGGGATGGTGCTAATTAGGAACAGTATCTTTGCAGATGAGCATATTGAGAACGTGGAGAGGATGCACAAGGCGTATGAACGGTGTGATTTTCCGCAGGAGAGGCTTGATTGTGCGTTTTCGACTACGAGTATTTATTGGAAGCCTAAGAGTGAGGAGGAGGGTAAAGGGAAGGGGATTGTGATTGAAGAGGTTGAGATTGAGAAGGATGATGAGAATGGTGAGGATAAGAAGGGCGGGGATGAAGAAGAGGAGCTGGCGAAGAAGCTTGAGGCTACTACTATTAATTAATTGTTGGTTAGTAATTGTTAATTTACGAGTGTTTGTTAGAGGCTCACGATGGTCTGCGTCTTGGGCTTCAATTGCTGGTGACTGCGCAGCACTCACTGATGGGCTTCTTTCCTTGTGCTCAATTCATTTAATCAACTCTCTTTCAATCATTAAAATATCTCTCTTTCATGTTTGACGTGTCCAGTCTCTCCAATCTTCCCTCGGCTTCACCTCATGATCTTCGACATCTCTTCTAACCCTTCCAACATCATCATCAATTTCTAGCGACCATCTTCGTAACCTGCCCTCGCTCTTCAATTCTACTGTCGCGACCATTTTCTTCTGGTCTCCTGAGGTTCCTCTTTATCCCTTTTATTCTCTTCTTCATCTACTTCAACTCAAACCTTCATCCTCACCATCATAATCATTCTCTCAATTGATCAACATCTCCAACTTGACCACTCACCGTCAACACCGACACCTTCTTCTTGCAGCTTTTGAGCTTTCCGGTAAGTCTATCCAATTCCTCTCTTTGTCAATTTCATCTCATTTTATCACATCTCTTCAATTCTCTGCCAAACGTCCCCTAACATCCTCCTCATCTTCCCTCATCTCCACTAACCTTTACCCAATTTCTCAATTCTTTCCTTCCTCTCCTCAAAACTTCCATCTTATCCTCTAACCCGCCATAACATCTCCTAAACAATTCACTCTCTTTTATAAACCCCGCCTAAATGCGCATCGCGCAGTGATTCACAGCCTCTTCAATCTCCCTCTCATAAATTCCGTCTCTTCTTGTCAACCTTCATCCAACATTTCATCAAACTCACAAAACTCAGTCAATTACATCAAACCTGCGACAAAGATCCTACAATCTTAGACCAATAACTCAAGCTGGCATTGACAACTCTCAATCACAATGGAGTCCTCATCCCCAGAGTCAAAGCCAGACAGAGCAGCCCGTGAAGCAGAATACCAAGCCCTCTGGCAAGTCTGCGATCGCGCAAGTCGCAAACACGAGTACATCTACGCTGATGACAGAAACAAGCGTGCGCTTCTCGAAGATGCCTGTGCTTCTATAATGCAGAAGAGGTACCGTCTCTTAATTGCAATTGACTTGCAGAACCAAGACTGACAATGTGTAGACGAAAGGTCGGCAAGGCCCCGTGCGGAATTGACGTCCCCTCCATGGTGAGCCTTCATCTTCAGCGTGAAGTCACCGGTCGTCTTCTTGCGACTGCTCGTATGGGTGTTGCGAGCCCTTCGCCTAATGAGATGCCGTATATGGGGAATGGGCCTGCGGTCAATGCGACGCAGAATGCGTATCCTGCTAACCCAAGTCCTTTCAACGGCAACCCGAATCCCTTCAATGGCACTCAGGCACCCTTCAGCGCAATCCCGCAGCCTCAAGCTCGAGTGCCCCCCATCTCCGCCCCAAACTTTAACTTCTCGATCCCAAACAACAACGCCGTTCATCAAGAACTCGCCAGTCAGCGAGAAGACATGGACAAGGTGATCAACACCCTTCGCGACTACGCCAGAAGGATTGCCGCTCTCGAAAACAAACTCGAGACAGTCACGCAGGAGCGCGACGCTATGAAGACTGGAACTTTTGACATGAGCAAGTCGGCTTCCGTTCCTCCAACCATGTTTCACTACCCCACAGAGGGCATTGAGGGCTTCGAGGGATTGCCTGGTGTCGCCTATCCGCAGCCCAGACTTCTCACGCCTAGGAGTCAGACGCAGGGAAGGGATGAGGACGATAGGGAGGGGACGTATCAGCCTGGGATGTGAAGGCGGTTCACAGAAGAGCATTGAGGTCTGCGATGAAAGGAGAATTGAGGGTTGCGATGGGAGATAGGATGGAGGTCTGCGACGGGAGAAGGAGATGAGGAGTATTCATGAGTATGATTAATGCTTGCGATGGTTGCTGGGAATAAATACTTGGGCGATTGCTGGCACGAATGCTTGGGAGACGAGACACATTGAAGCACATAAACATCTTGCTTTGCTATATAGCTGTAACGACTAACGACGACACGAATACATAGCGCCTTTGGGCAAGATACCCATCAATTAGGTACATCACAGATCAATACATTGCATCAAAGACCAATGCTTTACATCACAGATCAATTCATCAAATCGCGCATCAATCATTGAGCCAATACTTGTATTGTTTGTCCTAGCCGTTCCTCCATCAACTATATACTCTCGCAATCGCGAATCGTTACAATAAGCCAGCCATCCATTTCCATCGTCTACGAAAACAACCGTGCCAGGCGTATCCGAAACAATATATATATAAACAGGCATAACATTTTACCTGTTTTCCCTAATACTCCGTAACTCCGGTCCGTGATAAGACATTAAATGCTGAGTGTTGAGGTGATGATGGGTATATCCAATGCATGCCCTCGCATCCGCAGAGCTAACATAAACTCAGGCATCAATCGTCGCTGAGGAATGTCATGAATGCATCAAGTCATTTATGAAGAAAACATGCTGTAGTCCTGGATCGTCTTGCCGTCGCAGTCGGGAATCTTGACTCCCTTCTTGAGCTCACGGTCGGCTGTCAACAGACCCCATTTGTCCTCCCAGTTCTTGCCCTTGGTGTTGTACCTCTCCTTCCAAGGCTCGTCAAATGCCTCGAACCAGAAGTAGCTGGTACCGTTCTTAAGAGATTGGCAAACCCAGTCCTCCATGAAGGTGTTGAGCTCATCGATACCAGCAACTGATCCTTTGGTACAGGTCGTGGCTTGGCCACAGTTGGTGCCGCCTCCGGTAGGCCAGCCTGTCTCCGAAATGATGTTCTTCTTCTTGTCCGTCTTCCAGAAATCTCCATTGTTGGTCTTCCAGAAGTTGGATGTCCAAGCGGCAGCCTCAGATGCCTCGACTCCGGCGAAGAAGGGATGAATGTTGGCCATGATATAGTCACTGTCCGTCGCAAGCTCAGATGTCCAGTCATCACCCAAATCAGAGGTAGCAACAGGAAGCTTGAGGCCCTTCTTATCGAGCTTCGTACGAGTATCGTCCAAGATCTTGGCCAATGTGGTGATGTTCATCTCCTCACGGAAAAGAATTTCGTTGGCAATGATGATACCCTCAAAAGGATCATCACCATACTCATCCAGGATATCCCACATTTGTGCCATCTGTCGATCGTTGGTTGTCTCGTTCTTGTCAAGCCAAACACCCATCCAGATCTTGGTGTCCTTGAGTTCCAATCGGTCGAGAGCATGAATCAACATCTGAGTTTGGTTGCAATCGGTTCCGTACAGTCGAATCTTGTTGGTAAGCTGACCCAACACGGCGACATCGCGAGTAATGTTGTTCTGAGAAGGCGGGTTATGCATGCAGTCGGGATACTGCGAGTTGAGAGGGGTGTAGTCCATGCCGGGAAAGACTCTGTGAAGGTCGGGATTGTTGAGAAGGTCCTTGATCTCTGCGCTGTTTTTGCCGAGATCGCCATTCTTCTTCGTGTCGTCCTTAGCTGACTCTCCCAAGTCCGCTGCACTTTCGTCTTTCTTGCCATTGTTCAGCATGCCACCGACGACACCACCAACAATAGCACCAACGATGATGAGGAATACGAGGATGATGATGAGCCACTTGCACCTCTTACTCCTCTTAGGGTCCTTATCCGCTGAGCTGTAACCGTAAGGCTTTTCCCGTGACCCCTTCATCTCGTAACTTCCGCCTGCAATGGATTAGCAAATGCGCGCACTTGGCAGACAAATACTGACCTCGTCCACCCAAAAGGCCGCCAGTAGCCGCACCACCTCCAACCGCAGCAGCAGTTGCAGAGGCACCCTTCTTCGCGCGGTCGGAATGGGAAAGGCTAAGCATTGAGTTCCTTTGGCTCTTTCCATACACGAGTCCGTCGTCTCCATCGTCGGCGATCTCGTTAGGATTCACTACGCCAAGGTTGTCGCTGCCGTGCCGCGAATTCGTGTATCCGGGGTATGGGTTATCGACGTAGGGATCGCTACCGTTGAAGTGAGATGTTGCAGCCGATGGTGGCCCGCGAGGCGAATCGTAGCCTCCGTTTCCGCCATACGGGTTTTGCTGAGTCCGCGATGGAGGCGGGGGCAAGTTGGAGTGTTCCATTGCGCCTATGCCACTATAGCGAGGATTACGGTCAGCAACGTTATGAGCAATTCCTGCCATACCACCAGATGCTGACGTTCCAAAATTGTCTGCGCCGGGTGTAGTATGGGAGTTTGGGTGATCATACCCCATATGTCCACCGCCGCCACCTCCGTAGTTATTGTAGCCTTGGTTGCCGTAATAAGCGTGGTCGTTTTGTTGAGGCGATGGTCGTCGAGGACTATCGTAACCAGCGGATCCTGCGTACGGCGAAGGCGAAACTGAGCGAGCGTGGGAGGAATAGTCGTCGTAGCCACCTTGGACACGGCTGTATGAAGAATCGGGATGTGCGCTTGGATGGTTTGATCTCGGGGGGGCGTCGTAGTGGGCAGCCGAAGGTGAGTAACTATGGGGAGGAGGGATGGGTCTTCGGGGAGAGGAATCGTAGTGATTATGAGAGTCGAGCGGTTCGCTCTCATAGGGATCCCCGTGGTAGTTCTGCATTGTGGGTAATGGTTGGGTATTAAATCTGGATCCAGGCGGAGGAGCAGGCAGGTTCAAGCAGTGTGACACTGATAAAGATAGCGATAAGGTAACGACTCGAGAGCAGGTAGTGCCAAGAGGATCGATGATGCCAGCAGCGGGCGCGCCGCCTCAAGGGGATCACCTTGGAAGAAGGTGGATCAATCGGCGAGATATAATTTGCAGTTGAAACGAGAGAGTTGGAGAAGCACAAGGAACAAACAAGTTGAGCGAGTGGAATAAAAAAGACCGACCGACCCGAGTCTTTCTTTTGACTTGTTATTGAGAGAGATGGAGCTGGAGAGAGAGAGAAAAAAAGACGGAGTGACGAGGACAAGAGTAGAAAGAGCCCAGAGAGTCAATGAATCGTTGCTGCAACTGTAACGGCCCAGTTGGAAGGAGCGAATGAGGGGGCAGGTAGACACTGGCTTGACTGGGGAGCCAGACCGGATGCGGACCGATAACCTGGAATTTCCCATTTTAGCGGGTGTTCCGCCCTGGACTCCCCGGCAACCGGCCCCTAGTATTCCAGCCAAGGCGGGACCCGTGACGCAGATGTTCTGGAACCAAGGCCAAGACCATTACCACGTTGATAATACAAGACATATTTGATTGTAAATTAACAAAAATTGTCATTGAGATTGTATATTCGATCAAGACTCAATAGCAATTGCAAATGTCGCTTTAGAAAACGGGTTCATTGCACAGCCTCCTTCAAAACGGGTGCAACGGCAGACACGAGGTTGGAAAATCCTCTAGTGGTGTGTGAGATCATCAACACGGGGTTGAACTTGTCTTGACTTGGTCAGGCTAACTCCATCTTATGATGGATGCGTGCGCGTCCTCAGAACCTTGATCTATATTCGGAAACTGTCTCAGTCCAAGACGAACTTCTTTGTTGTTAATCGCCGTCTATTCCCATCTCACCACTTCGTATTGTACATGAATGACCACGTAAACCCCCAATCAATTCTTAATTTGCTAACAATGGCCTCATCGTAAAACTCAAACAAGCGACGAGGGTCAATCCTGTATGAGCATGGCACAGTTGGGTCTGGATTATATCCCCCTGCAAAATACGACTTTAGCCTGTCGATTGACGATCAATATGGAACCTCCAGGGTTACAGAGAAGGGAGACGAAGAGGATCACTGAGAATTCAGCTGTGACTATCCAGTGATTAACCAAAACAAACAGAAAGAGAAATGTCTGAAAGTCATGAGGCTGGTGATGAATGCAGCCAAGGTGACAGCCGCAATTGATCGATGCAAGACGGGTTTCGACATGTGGCGTCGCCATAATATTAATTTATCACCATCATAATCACCAGCGGCACAGCTACCACCAACATGCCATCATATTAACCAGCTTCCAAGCGCTATTTTCGCAAATTTAATCACGGAAAATTCTTGTATTTTGTTATCTTGTTTATGTACCACAATTGGCAGATTAAAGGATCCTCTGTGACCCGGTATTCTTCCCAGTTTTACTGTCTCCCTGGTGCGACACTTTTTTGTTTATCGGCGATCCTCGCCCAAGAGGCTTTTTATGCGACACTGTTGGTCGATCAAAAAGCTCTGTGCTTCAGCCGATAAGAATTCGTTAGCTGCTCATCGACGATTATGACAACCCCCACCATATTTGACTGAGACAATTCTTACTCCCTGTAAGCAGAGACGCCTAACAATTAAATAGTCTCAGTGCCGGACCTGTCAGCAAATTGCAGCTGTTGCTTTAAGGCTGAATTGGTGGTATGCTCGTGACTTAAAATGGTCGCTGGTGGCTGAAAATGGAATTAGCCATGGACCCTTGAGGCTTAAAAAAGGAAATGACATTTGAGGAATGTCAAGGTCGAGACCCCTATTTCTGAGACCGAGGTTCGTAAAAAGCCCATCTCCGGTTGTTGACGGAATCCCTTGATTCGGGTGCTGAGTCTTGATCGCGATTCAGCTGTACGAGAGGCTGTCGTGAAACGTTACACGATCAATAAGTACATCGTCATTAAGGCGCAAGCCAGAGGTGCACAAAGTACGAAAATGTCTTGCATTGACGTCAAAGTACTCAATATTGCATCCCTTGACAGCTGAGGGGCTTGAACTGGCTGACTGGCTTTGCTTTACGCGTTCAGAGAGTTCCAGTTGAGGCGCCTCGTCGAAAGATGCAGGGTAAGTGACTTCAATTGGAACAACATCATGATGTTCAGCGTAAGTGGGCGAATAACGCCAGTCTGATGAGAAAATGTTTATTACGCTACTTAATGGAGGACTGTCGACTCGGCGCTGTCGCCCAATATGTTTTGTTATATCTTTGTTGTGCTGCCACGATCACGAAGCTGAACTCCGAAGGCTATGAAGCGATACCAGTAACACCACATCCTCACAACAAAAAACCAGTGCGCCGCCTAATGTCGGAAGCACCACAAATCTTTTTCAAGCCATGTCGCAAACCTATTCGGGTCTGTCGCATTACTTCAGACATCTGTGAGGCTGCCATTGCGCATAAGATACTACGTGCAAGGGTGTTTCCAGTACATCTATCCCTCAATGCTGGTATCAGTCAATCGACGCTTGTCAGTCGCAGTCTACTACATGAATAACACAATTGGTTGCCCTTGCCTGGGATGGAAATAGATCTTCATGTTTATACTGCGCTCTCATAGACATCGCATGGCCATCCTCATCTCTAAGGCGCCGCCCTAGAACAGCTTGTGGACTTTGTGCTCGGAGCGCACACACTTCTTCAGTAGATGTCCCAGGTTTCGACGGGAAGGAATGGGTTGGCCTAACTACAGGTGAGCTTGGATGACTTGCAGTTGGACGAGTCGCATCCTCTCATCGTCTGTCCGAGCCCGAGGTGCCGGACATCTTACAAGACTGTTGCAGCACCCTTGAGTTCATGGAGGGTATATGTGCTACACGATCTGAAATCATGAGGAATACCAAACTGACATTCACCCATTCTAGTGGAATACATGTTCTAGCTTCACGGTTGTCGTTGCAAGAAGTGTGTTCTAATTGGCTAGCTGTCAACAACACCATTTTAAGCATCACCAACGTAAAAACCACCAATCACAATAGCCTCTTCCGATCGGCAACAAGATCTAGATCGTGCACCGACTCAAAGAACAAGGAAATACAGCACGCGACACTTTCCATGGAATTCTATACACCCAGGATATGAGGAAAAACCGCTCATGTGACCGGCTCTTGAATCAACACCAGTTAGCCCTCAAGCAAATCTCCCCATCTTCATCTTCAATCCCGGCACCGCACAGTAAAACAAATAAGCATACACAGAATCTCACGTAGCCAAGCACATATGACGTTATCTACAAGGGCCTTCCTCCACAACACCAACCAACGAGCTCTCACGCGGAGCAAAACTCCGATGTCCGTTCCACATATCTCATCCACTGAATATCTTTATCGATCGATTTCGCCTCCAACAGAGTCAATATACAGTGATTTCTGCAACAAACGCGATGTAGATTGTATTGATGATGGTTGGATCTCGTGCGACGTGCAAAGAGTGATGTCATGGCGACGATGAAGATGTTGACATCATCCATGTGTAGATGCGGCATCACGATGATATATATGTAGCCTTACAGCGTGTAAGACATGACTTTTATCCTCTTCATTCTCATAATTCTTCTGTGATCATACACAAAGATCCTGCAAAAGCTCAATTGAACACTCATCTTTAAAGACTTCACAAACAAAACATTCATCATGTCTATGAACCCTGAGTCTGCTACTCCCCAGCAGGGTGAGTTCCGAAGCAAGGTTGCTCCCTCTGAGCCCCTCACAACCAAGGGCGTAAGTTCATCGTCACAGAGATACTCTTCATGATGCATCATACTCACATTCATACAGCACAAGCCCGGAGTTCTCGTTGGCAACGACGCCGCCCCCGAGTTCCACGCCGAGCAACATCCCGCCGGCACAGCTCCCCCCGAGAACACCTTCCAGCCCAACCCCGAGACCGAAGTCCCCGCCCAAGCCCCCGGTGCTTCGGGCGCCGTGTCCGCCTCCGCGACTCTCGGGGGCGCTACGTCCGCTGATGTGCACACCGGTCTAGGCAAGCCTGCCGCTGGGCAGACTAGCCAGGAGCTTCACGGTCGGGAGAAGAAGGATCGTTCTGGTCTTACGGGTGTTGGTGCGAACCCGTCTGATCCTATTCATGATATGGGTGCAGACCGGGATCATCCTACGAACTATCGTGGAAAGGGTGGTGAGAATGCGGTGGATTATCCTGGTGCAGAGGATAGAGAGCCTGCTAAGGCTGAGGAGGTTGCGAGTGAGCGCGCTTAGATGTTTGCTGTGCGGACGGGATGGAGCGACGTGTATTATTAGCCATGATGGCTTAATGAGTTAATGCCAATGATATGAACCAACGGCATGTATCAGATATCCCATGTGATACGATGTGAGGTCAATGGACAGTGGGGGTATAGGATCGGTTGAGGTTCGCCCGTGACCCAATGGCAAGAGAAGAGTGGTTAGTAGAATTGTAATGTCCCGCGTTCGTATAAGCTGCATCAATATGCCGGTAGACCTGCAGGACTTTGTCATCTTTAGCTCCGGCTGTCATCGGGCATGTCAGCAACACAGTCTATTATCAGCACCCGTCAATGAATCCTGGCCCGTAGTGTTGCACATGGTGAAAGGTGACACAAAGGCGACTTGACCGAAGACTCGATTAGCAACCATCAATGTGATGCAGTGTATGCTTGGGCATCAACCTGCACCATTTGCTTGTGTGGAACCAAGATAGTGGCAATGGTTCACTGCAATGCAATGCAACCAATCGAGGCATAATCGTCCTGTCTTGAACCGCGCCAACCGTCAGCCCTATGCAACCCACATTTTCAAGCAGATGAACTGAAGAATGCCTCGCGATGAGCCTTTTAATTATAGGATCAAGCGTTGAAACATGGATGTTACCATGATCGTCGAAACCCCTCGATTTGGATGAACTCAATTCTCCTCCCGGTCTCGGCAGTACGACTTTGACATCCCTGCTGAGGGCGTCCCTGGATCTCCCCACCCGTGATGGGAAGCTGGACACGAATCGATTGGTAGGCTATTCTCGGATTATGGATGATCGGACGAAGTGCGGCCGGTGTGACGGTCATAGATGCTGAAAAGATGAGGGGGACAGTCAATGTGAGGTTTTTCTCTATGATGGTTGAAAGCTTGAACCATTGACCGTGGGGGCTTTATTTCGAGGCATCATCTTAAGAGACATCTGGAAAGGTTCTGTCGCTATGCTGAATATGACAGTTTGAGCGCCCAATCCAGAAACCTCCGACTCTCCCAACACTTCTTTGGGCATTATTTCTCCTCATTTGTCTCGGAAGCAACGGCAGTTCTTCTTCAAGTCTGGGCCGAGACCCCGTTTCCATACTCTAGTAAGATCTCAGAGGTATCCACTACCACGCGCCATGCTAATAAATCTTGTTCTTGTTCTAATTCATGACGCACTCGTAATGGAAGGATTCATTTATTTAAAACATAACTATTATAGTAAGACTGATTACTTTCACATGCACTAAGTAACTTATCGCAATGTAATTTATAATAATCTCAGTCAGCTTCTAAATGCCGGGAGATATCATCAGTTATCTTTAATAGCCGCAATAACCGCCGTATGCACACCAATCATCTCAGAATCATCCAATCAAGGAACTCTATCCCCGCCGTGATCAGACCTCCTCCACAACCCGGCAGCTAAACCAAACCCATCCTGATCCATACCGTCTCGCCTCGTCGGTCCAGCGATCCACGGAACCACCGTTACAGCTAATTGAACTTCTTGATCCCGTTAGACACGTCAATAATGTAAGTTCAGTCTATCAGTTAAAGATTCTCGGGTGAATTATCTCCTCAAAGTCAATTCAATTCTAAAGAAGAACCTTGCTTGATATCGCTTGGCCCTCTCCACATTCACCTGCTCCCTTTTCCCCTGGTTCCTTTTAAAACCCGTTGTTTCTTCACACGCGGGAGTCATTTATATTCTTGGAGTTTGTCGTTGATATCATCCCACTCATTTTCGGGGTCTCGCCTCATGGCAAGCGCCACTGACTTTGAAAGATTCCATTGATAGGTTCTGCACTTTGGCTTAGCCAGGTACGGCACAGCACAGTATCGGCACATCAAGGCCCGTCCCCTGTAAGCTCCAAAACCGAGTACCGAGCTGTCCCCCCGTTCTACTTTACCAGAACGGCTTCTCGTCTCTGCACGAGTGGGCTTCTCCTCACACAAACGATCTTCCATTTCGAGCCGTGAACCAACAAGCTTTGTTTTTTTTTTGTTATTTGGGGTTATTGTTTGTTGGTGGAACCCCTGGTGCCTGGAAATCATGGAGATCCAGTTCTCGATCCCTATTAATGGAGGGCGATCCAACAGCTCGGCGCCGTAAGCCAGAAACCCTGTCGCAAATCCGAGCTGAGCTGACTTTCATCCTATCATTAGTTCTTCTTCAGAGACTGAGACTGAAAGATCTGCAAATGCCACGGCTTCAAGAGTTGGGACGCATAGGTTTGCGCTTGAGACAAGGGCGCGACATACAAGACGAAGCTCAAGTAGAGCACGCACGGGTTGTGCTACATGTGAGTTCAGTACATGTCTTTCATGAGTCTGTTACTAATGGCTTCTTAGGCAAGTAAGTGTCATGCAGTTGGTCGCATGAACTCAATTCCTTGGGTACCGCATGGCGTAAGAAACATACTAACATCGTGAAGAAAGCGACATGTCAAATGTGACGAGACAAAACCAGCCTGTCTCAATTGTTTAAAATGGAGAGGCTCATGCGATGGCTACGGCGATGCAGCAGCTACACCCGCCGAAAGCACCACCGAACCTCGGCCGCGCTCAACAGCCTCAAGGTCAAAAGCAACGGCGAACTCTGCGACTAAATCCCGTGCAGCGTCGAAGATTAATGTTACTACAGGCTCAACGGCTGTTGTGAGGGCCAGAGCACCGACAATTCCTGAGGAACCTCCAATCAACACGATCTGCTTCACAAGTAGTGAGCAGCGATCTTACTTCGATGAATGGTCGGCACTTAGTGTCGGGTTCCTCAGTGGAGGACTGGGCGATTCGCGATTATGGACGACTACGATGCCTCAACTTACGTTGCAGGAACCGTCATTGAGATATGCCGCTATGGCAGTAGGCGCACTGCGCAAAGCTTCTAACGTCGAGTTTGAAGCGTCATCGCCTGGGAATGAACTCGCGGGTGATAACAAGCACTACCTCAACGCAATTGTCTACTACTGCGAAGCTTTACAACTGCAAGCCAAGGCCAGACCAACGAAAGAAGGACTACGGACAGCGATGTTGGCGTCTCTGCTGTTCATCTGCTTTGAAGCGCAACGGGGAAATATGCCAGCGGCCCTCAAGCACATCACTCATGGCTTCAGCATGTTGAACGAGCTTGCGGCTTGTACCGACAAAGCTCCCAGTCTTGTCAGAATCGCCCCGGCACCTCCAGCGCTGGTCCAGGAGATCCTGGATTGCTATAAGCCCTTGGAACTCCAGTCGCGATCATTCATGGGGTCGTATAAGAAGTTCTTCTTCCCGCCGAAACCACCCGCAGTCGCTGCAAAACAGGCTCCCCCTTCACAGATCTCCAGTCCTCATTCTGTATCGAGTCCACCAAGTCAACCTGGTACACCGTGGGCGAGTGCACCCTCAAGTCAGCAGAACCCAGTTGGTCTTCCGAGTCCACAGAGTCAAGCAAGTCCGCAAGCCATGTCAGACCAGCAGACACCTCCGCGAGCGCCTCCGCAGAGACCCCCGGGTATCGCGCCGTTTACCAAGCACTCACCTTACTTCAGGCCAAAGCAGACGAATATCAGCGTAATTGAAGATATGCCCGCTGTTTTCAGCACGTTGGACGAGGCCCATGGCTACTGGACGCTACTGCAGAGGCAGCTTGTGCAATACATCCCTCTGCTAACAGCGACGACAGCACAGCTTGCGTTGACGAAAGTGAGGGACATGAAGGAACTGGAAATGAAGCTAGACAGCGTGAGGCAGAACCCCAGGATCTCAAAGTTTCTGGAGGAATCCAGGCATTGGCTTCAAAGATGGTCGACGTCCTTCAGTCCCCTCCTTCAAACCGCGCAGGACAATCGCCAGAACGATGCACAGTCTTATCTGCAAGCGATTAACTTCCATATCGAGTTTCTCATCCTTTACATTTACACCGCCATGCCACGATACTCTGGCGTCGAAACAGCAAAGGATCTCACACCCCAATACCGAGAGCTCAACGCCATTGCCGAGACATTGATCGCATCCCGTCCCAACTGTGGTTTCGCAATGGATTCAGGTTGGACATGGCCACTCTTTGTCTCAGCATTCGGCTGTCGCGATCCAGAAGTCAAACAAGACGCAATTCGCATTCTAGGAAAATACCCCATCCGAAACGCCCTTCGCGACAGTCGTGTCTTCCGCGCCATCGCCTTGAAGAACTGTGAAGTCGAAGCTATGAACGCAATGGAGGGCGATGAAGATCAGCAGTGGTTACGACTGAGGAGGAGAGAGCTTGTCTTTGAGGATCTGGGGATGAACATTATCTTTCGGTACGCGGAGAAGAATCAGGCCACGGGGGAGTGGGGGCTCATTGAAGAAGTGGCGGCGTTTATGGTTGGAGAGGATGGACAGTTGGATTGGCATAGACAGCCTATCTCGGAGTCGGTGTCGATTCTTTCGGGTGTTTGTTAAGGGTTTTTTGATGAGATAAAGGAGGGCTTGGGTAGTTAGCAAGCGTAGGAGTTTTGGCGTACGTGCTTTTAGGCTACGACGATGGCCAAATAACGGATTCTTACGACTTGTTATAGATAAGTGTTCGTAATCTGAAGATGCATAGCATCCAATGTCGTCTAGACGTGTTGTAGATAGCGTCTTCTGTGAACGTCGATAGATGGATGATGATACCATCCATGTTGGGAGGCTCAAACGCGTACTTTGCAGTGAATTGAACGTATATAAGATGACTACCAAACTCGTATCTGATGTCGCAACACTGTCAAATGTAAATCGTGCTTGTTGTTTACTTGTTTGGACGATATTTGTTATTTTATGTTGTTATCAGTCTGGTGTTGTTGCTCAAATTGCTGGTCGACTCTGGCAATTACCATGTGAAATCAGCAATTGACCAACAAATAGACGGCAAAGCTACAGGACAAGGACAAAATACAAATTGACAATACTCCAACACATACTGACATCGCATATGCGCATTAGTTGAAGTCATATCTACAATTATCTGCCGTTATTCTCACTATCATCCCTTTCAACTGCCAAGCTTAGGGTACCTACCTCGGCGCAGATGCCGAGGTCGTCGGCCTCAGGCACGCGCCACCTCCACATTCTGAGCGAGCACCTGGCGGGAAGTGACGTGCCTGTGCCTCGGGGTTCGGCGGGCCAAATCCCCAAGAAGACCAAGCCCAACGCAGCTGAGCTGAGCTGGCAGCACCTCTCCCACTCATTCCATCATCAAATCATTCCTCAACTCCAACTCAACTATCGCTATCAACGTTCCTGTCAATACCTTCACCAACGCCGATAACGCGTCATGGCTGGTGACTGATTAAACCCGCCAACGACCGACATCACGCGCGCACCGCTCCTTTAAATCACTATCCCCTTGTCCGATCATCGCCAACCCGGTAGAGAGGGAGAAATGGACCCTTCTCTGAAGCGCGACGTGCCTGCTTCGGCTGCGAATTCTACGAATTTACCGTCCGCTACGACGAATAAACAACAGAAGAAGCCTTCACTCGGTCGCATTCTGTCATTACCGCCCAAATGGCTCTCTACGTACGAGGAGTTTATAACGAAGAATGCCGGTCAAGTGTCGCAGATTGAGAGCGCTTTACGGAGCTTGACATATATAATTCCAGGTAAGCTTTTCTGGGACGAGTGTTAGGTTTGGACCCGTTTCTAACGAATGTTCAGGCCGTTTCCGCGATGCCGAAATCGCATCCGAGTCAATCCACTCGGGTGTTCAACTTCTATCTCTCTACCATGACTCCCTCCTCCAAAAGGCCATCGCGCGTTTACCGATGGCAAGCATGCCATCAGCACATGCTCGATATACACGATACTGGACGCAACGGAGTGGTGCCTACCGAAGAATAGCTATGTTTTTACAAATGATCATCTATACAGAGATGCTATGGGAAATGACAGCCAAACGACGAGGTGGCGAGAAGTCACGGTGGAAGGTAGTCGTGATCCTGGAAGCACTTAAGGCATTCTGCCGTCTTTTACTCCTGCGCATCACCCGGTCGCGTCCACTGGTCACGCCCGTGCTGCCTGAACGCGAGCCCATCCCTGAAGATGCGGCCGCAGATGAAGAAGAGATTGCGTACCGAAGTGAAAGTGAACTCATGGACGACGTTTCGGTAGACGGCTCTGCGTCAGGATCTTCACGAGACATGAAACCTGCGCACGAGCGCGAATGGACCATGCCCCGAACAGGAATGAGCTTACCATCGTTACCAGAGGGAGGAGACATCAGCTCGTATCTGCTGGGACGTGTGCTTACAGCTGACGACATCAAACCCGCAACTAAGCTTCTCAACCAACTCCAGGGAAGTAGTCAGGGTGCTGAGATACTGCAGATCTTGTCACCGCTTATCTACGCTTCAGCTATGGCCTACAACATCAGGAGAGGTGGCGACAAGAAGAACTGGACCCCTTGGTTGATTGGCTTTGCAGTCGAGTATGCTGCCCGGCAATTACGAGACCGAGGCTTACGAACTACATCCCTTGAACGGGAAGAATGGAGCAAGCGTGGTTGGGCCATGGGCTGGTGGGCGATGAGGGGCGCTGCATACGAGAATATCACCAAGGGAGTCGTCGGAGGTGTAACAAAGAGAATGCCCTCTTTCATCGGTGGTATCCTCGAGGACTATGAGTACCTCTGGGAGAATTACTACTTTAGCACGAGTGCATAAAGTGTACTACTCACTGCACTGACCTTGGTTTGGAAAGCGGACCATGTCGTCTCAAGTACATTGAAGATTAGACTTCGCCGAGACATGTCGGCTGACGATCTCGGCTACTGGACGTTTTGGAAACTTTTTCTTCAAGTAAACATTACGGGGCATAGCATATACGATCGGTAGATGGGCAAAGGACGGCTAGCCATGCGAGCTTTGACTTTGATGAATACCCGATTTGGAATACAACTCTCGCGCCGGTGTTGCACGATTGCTCTTCAACTCTCGCCCATGCGGTCTGGTCTTTCCCCAAGCCCAAGTCTAAGATCGAAAGTGGGAGCCCTCCTCTCCGATCTTATTCGGAGTGATCAAATATAGTGTTTCTTTGATCGTCCCTGATGGGGGTTTGACTGTGCACTTTGGGTGGTGCGGGTGTCTCAGATGGACGATCGCAAGGGTTCGCACGGACGAGAACACAAACCTGACGATCAGTTACACTTTGATCATTGTACGAGTTATTTTTTCTCTCTCTGTCTTCTTCTATAGTTTAATAAGGAAACGAAATGTAATCATCCAAGAAAAGTAACGGCGAAACTAGGATCGGGACTAGAAAATCGGTGACGTTTTAGTGGAAAGGGGGTAGAGCGGGGTGTAGGTCAAGTAAGAGCAAGCGAATGGAACTCAACTCAACTCAACTCCAGTGCGCGTGGCAGTGCTCGGCCGAGAACATGAATCCCCCTGTAAATGGAACAGTACCTTACAGAGGAGGATCCGTAAGAAGGAGGGAGAAAAGACCCCGATTCCGTTCGGCTTTCTGCAGTTCTTCCGTGTTCCTGAACTGCAAAAGAGAAAGACGGAGGTGCCAGGGTGTGGAGGAGGAAGTGGCGCACCCGGAGCCGGTGCGCTTGGAGGCTGGTTTCAAGTTGATTTGGAGGAGCGTGCAGTGGGCTGTTCAACAATAGTTTCACAGTCTTCTCCCTCTGTTGTTCAAAAATCTTTCAGCTGAAAAAGAGACAACAAGTTCTCGAAAGAGACGGTGAACGAATTGCCGGAAATGTTATCTCGCAAAAAAACGTGGTGCTACTCGGTCCCTTGCATGTAATACATATTTGACCTTTTATATACACCAAACAACAGGGTTTAGACGGTATATTGCTCCTTTGGTATAGAAACGTTCTGTTCCCGAGCAAGGTTTGTTAAGGTACCATGCTTAAAAAACCCTTCATCCCCTATTTCTTACCGTGCCTCTGTCTCTTTTATCTCCGGGCTATCTCAGCTGGGTAATTGTGTGCTGTTCGGTGCGTAGGTACCCGAGCCAAGGATGGTGAAACGTTTGACGTTGTGATTTTCTCTGTGAAGAGGGGGCTGAACGGGTAATGCGGGAGGACTAAAAAGTAACGATACACCTAAGAGCAAATGCAGAGGTACGGAGTACACAGAGTTTATGATAAGAAAGAGTTTGGTTGACGTAGGACTGCTCATGTTTAAACATAGAAACACGAACCCAAGTAATGGGCTAGAAAAGGGTCTTCAGCGACATGCTTGTTGCATATGATCTGCTTTTAATGCTGGAATACGAAATGGGATCCGCAAATGAATCATGTTGTGGATATGTATGTGCCTAAGGAGATTTTAGCCGTCATGAAGAACACAAGCTAGACACAATGGCTGCATAAGTGTCTCTGATAGAGCGGAACTCAGCGAGAAGTGATTTCACAAGGGATTCTCGTGACTTTTTGCTCTTTGGTGAAATTAAAAGCACAGACCCAGAGTCTCGGCGACCATGCCTAGAACATGATAGCGTCGTGGATCGGTTCATGTGATGATGATGATATGTAACCTCTGGTCCCTGACTAGAACAGATATGGATAAACTTTCAAGGACCAGTAATGATGCGACTGTAAAAATGTAAATCTATACGCGGGTGAGCAATATCGTGAACTGTGGGTAATGAGATGTTTGCTAATCGGGACCAACAGAGCGTTGTCAGGCGGGATGCAACTCTAACATCGTCATCATCAAGGTTCTCGACCTTTGGATCGCCATGGTTGCTTTTGTGTCGGTCGGTCAGGCTCAACGGCGAAAGGGGGCGGGACATGGGGAGTCGTGATACGCGAAATGATGCACGTAAGAGCGAGCTTCTCGAAGTTGAACAGTGCGTGGCCCGAACTTTACTGCTAGTTAGCTCTTGGCCAATCTCCCAGCCAAGCCAAGTTTTGAGGATTGACAGCGGAGGATTTTCTCTTGGTGCAGGTAGATGCAGACAACCGAGCTGAGGCTGTTGAGTTTGGTTGGGTTCGTTTGAGTTGGGGTTCGGCTTCGTCCTGACAAGACTCAGGCAATTTCCACATGTGCCGCGCCAGTAAAAGCTTACCCCTGTGCTGGGACGCATTATAGACCCTAGTCATCATGTTGCTTAATGCCCGGGGAACTTCAATTACAGTGCTGAGAGGCACCAGTCACTTCGCCTCGCTCGGAAAAAGGGCGCAGACGAAAACACAAATTGATTGAGGGTCCTGGTTTTGCCTGTCGTTCGTTGCGGGTGGAGAGGCCAAGACGGGAGGAGATAGGTAAGCGATGACGATGATGACAGCGTCAATCCAGGGGTTTGAGAGCTAGAGTTATCCAATCCACGGTAGGTACAGCAGATCCAACCACAACGTTTCTCGTCTGCCCCCTTGCGTTTTTCTCTTAATTTGATTAGAAACCAGAGGTCCGGGCTGATGGAAGAGGCGTTAAGGTGCGACTTTGAGTTGCAGACACGATGGTGCCATAAATCACTACGGGTCAAAAAGGCTAACCCAATAAGCCCAGTCCAGTCACTCAACCAACCCCGATCCCCAGCTCCAGCCTCAGCTTCAGACCCAGCCACAGGCTTGATCATCCTGGAAGCTTTGCAATCGAATTGAATGCTGGCCAAATTGAATTATCGTTATCTGGTAATTTATGACTTGAATTGTCTTGACCCGGCACATGTCATGATCTATGCCTGGGTTGGACAGTCGCTGCAACCCAAGAGCGGAACTCTTTTCAGCGTAGCAACCAACCCTTCACAGAGACCCTCTTCTAGGTCTTCTTTTCTTCTTTTCGGTCGCTACCCATGTTCATATAGAGCCACGGACACGACATCATTCGAGCCAAGGATGCTGCTCCTTTTCTTGTCGGGGCCTTCCCCTCGGACCAATACATGTAGTGGCTGATTGGCGGAAAACCGTTTCGAAACGCTCGACGGGCGGCGTCGACGGTTATCTTCTGTCTCATTCCAGTGCACAGTAAACTCTTCTCTGCCTGGCTAGGCTGGCCGTTTTGGATTGCGACCCTTGAATTGCTGGCTGTTGGCTTTACCCAATGTTCCTTGCCGTTGGTGTTTCAGGTGAGCATAGCTGTTACAGCGCGGGTTCCGGGTTCACGCCAGATCAGATCAGCATTTTGCCCAGAAGGGCTGTAAGCACGTTTTGACCTGGGTGGTTAAAAGAACTGTGCCTTTACGGGACCTACGGGTAGCCAAAATTGATCTGATTGACTGAATCAATCCCAGAGATTGCCAGAAAAACGTGGTAATCCATATCATCGTCAGCTAGCAAAACAGCTCTGATAACAAGGGACGTGCCACGGAGTATACTACCTTGATCGAGGCAAACCCCGGAGCAAGGAGAAGGGATTTGGAAATAGACAGCCCAGGATCAGCAGCTGGGCTCTTTAAGAGCGCTTGGGCAAAGGGCGCCGCCTTACTGTGTCGATAATGGGCAATAAATCTTTCTTGTGGATCATATGCCATGCTCGTGTCATGGGACATTCGCATTCTGAACAGCTTCATTACGGCCATCACGGCTTTCTGTGAATGACAGATAGGACTCTCGCTTCTCGGTCTCCCGAACACGACCCCATGTCAATTCTTGTCGCTCTGTGCCTGCAGCCGACGCGCGGGACAGGGGCAATCCTATTTGCTTGATTAGCCAAGAGACAATGCATTAGAGCGACAACGCAAACTTGAACACAAGCAAGCAGGCAGGTAATTGAATTGCTATCTTTAGATTCAATATGTGGTGAAACACAAGACCTTCTGTGTTTGTACGGCCACAGCACACACTGATACACCATCACGAGATGTTTTGGTTCAGGTAGGCAAGCTGTCATGTCACAAGTGAGCTGGCGCCTTTTCTGTCGCTCGCTGTTTGACTCAAAGCTCCCCGTCGTTCTCTAGATTGTCTGCCAGGACCTGGTTCTGAGCCCTGGCTCCTGTTGGCTTGGTGCTTGGCTTGGCTTCTGGTCTTGGCTAGGTCGGTTTCTGCTGCAAGACCCCCTGTCCTGGCTCCTGGGCTCGTCATTGACCCCTGGTGCCGCTTCGACCCAAACAGAACAAGGATGTGCCTGTCTCCTCGCCCATCAGGTCCCGTCTGTCGGTCGACGGCGCGAGAGGGGAGATCTCGTTGTTATGACGCTCTACAGAGAGATCGTGATGAGTTGATGGGCACAACTAGATGGAGAGGGAGGAGTAAGGTGAGATCGTCGCTGCTTGCTTAGTAGAGCGGTTATCGAAACAAATCGACGGGAACCATTCAGATGATGACAGTAGCGCTTTCCGTTACTTCTACAACGGCTTCATCCGCGAATAGGGACTTCGGTAGTGAAGCACAGCGCAGTAAGCAGGCATACAGACATTACATTGGCAATGCAGTCGCGGCCAGTCAATTCCTTCCTGTACGTCACGTCACTATTCAACTGTACCTGTCGATTTTATCTCCTACCTTATCCTTGATCTCTTTCCTTGGTCCCATCCCCCCCGATCTTTTTCTCCTCCACATCATCCATAGCTTCTCTCACTCTATTCTCCTCCCCTCCGTCATTCTAGCTACACTCTCTCACGAGGAATAAGCTCTCCTATTTTTGGGAAGCTTGTTCACTCGTCACGGGTAGAGATCTTGGATGTCGGACCTCTTCATTTCCACACGGGAAACCGTCACGGCTCGTCATTAATCATTAATTCTTGTGAAACTCTGGCTCAAGAGCCGGACAATACGGGACGGGGCTTGGGAGGAAAAAAAAAAAAAGGAACAGGCCCCCAAAAAGACCGCAACAGCAAGGTACCCGAACCTAACCAAAGTGGTGCCCCATTTTAAACAACAGGGTCAATTTTGGTTGGTTCAAGCTCTCTCTTCCGACCCCATTGCTCCTTTCTAGGTTCTGCCCCAGTCCCAGTCTCGTGGGTGTCTGTTCTTTTTGGGGCAGTCAGTCAGTCGTTGAATTGACTGCAGTGAGTGAGTGAGTGGTGCCAGAATCACAAACCGACGCCTCAAGCACGGGCTCCAAATCGGGCCCGCCCCCTTCTTCAGTGTGACAAGCTCCTTCCAGCACCAGCGATAGTGCTGTGCTTTGCTGTCGACAGCCGCAATTACAGCAGCAGCGCAGAGCTACACAGACCAGTTTTATCGCACCCCCTAAACACCAAGATCAAAACACAAAAGGCACACAAAACACCAAAGGCGATCATTAATTAGTCGGAGAAATATCCTGGCTGCACTACACGCCCCTTTCCTTTTCTGATCTCTGCCCCATCAATATCGTTCCGTCTTCTCTCCCCCCATCAGCCATTGATCTCTCATCTACGGATACTGTGCTTGTACCGAACGAACCTGGGATCAAGACCCAGGACCCAGTGTCTAGGAAGACTCCAGCACCCCTAGTCTAGCTTCTTCCTCACTCCCACTCTCCCACTCCTACGAGAAAGAGACTCCCTGTACCTGAGCAAGCCTGTACCAACACTTGTTGCTGCGGCCTGCGCCTACTCCTTCACTACCCTCCCATCCCCCATCTTCTTCCATCGTTTCCCGTCGTCTCTTCACAACTCCAAGCTAACCGTCACCAACCTTTCTTTCTTTCGTTTCTCTCTTGTTTCTTTTGCTTCATATCCACTCTCGCTCAAAGGTCTTGGGACCTTAAACTCTCGCTTTTGTCCTTCGTTGTTCAATCGTTCCCGAAATCTGACGGACCCAACTCATTCGCTACCTACCCCGTATTATCAGCTCATCATCCATCGACTTCAACCACATTCGTTCAACAACCGCGTTATATCCAACTCAAATTCTAAATCAGTTGACGAAAACTCGAATAACATCGCATTGCTCATCTTGATTCACATCGAAATTCCCGATTTCCCTCCATGTGAGCGGAGCCCATGGACCCGAGACAGAACCAGAATCAGCGACAGACCTCAAGTCAGACCAGCAGCCCTCAACAACATTTCGATTTCCAGCAGCACAACATGTCGCAGCAACCGAGTCCTTCGCCCCAGCAGTCTCACGACGCGAACCCCCAAGATGTTCTCGCCGAGGCCCGTAAGAACCTCCAGGTCCTGATTGACTCAGGCATGTCCAAGGAGCTTCTGCATCAGCTGGTCGATGGCGGCCATGGCCTCAGCTTGAACCTCAGCGCGATGACTGCCATGCAAGCCATGCCTGCGATTCCTTCTCAACCTCAGCAGTCTCCTTTTAGCCAACAACCTCCCAACCCGAGCCAAACGGCCCCTACTGCTTCGCTCGCTCCACCACCGCCGATGCGATGCCCTCCTCCGCCTCCTGTTGCCTCCAATGGCCCTAGTATCCAGACCGTGACGACGACTCCGAATAGCGTTTCATCCACTGCCACTGCCACGGCCCCTTCAGCTGAGATCAAGCACGAAATTATTTCCGAGGACATGAACTGTACGTCAAGCTCGCCCAACAACGAAGCCTTGGCCCCTGGAAGTTTGCTGACATTGATGCTAATAAAGTTCCCAACCCGGCCATGTTTCTTCCCCCGCAAGCTGCGTTTAGCCATCGCCCTCGCATCTCCGTTTCCTCGACGAGCTCCGGTTCTTCTGGACACGCTTCCATCTGGTCGACCAACTCAGGACAGTCTTCGATGTCTTGGCAGTCAGCTTCTACTTGCAACCGATCACAGGCACCGCTCCCTATTCCTCCTTCCAGCTCCTTGAACGGACTCGGTCCCATGAGTGCCCCGGTCGGCACAGCTGGTAAGACCAACATTTATTGGTGCACCTCGTGTGAGACAAGCTTCAAGCGCAAGTACGACTGGAAGCGTCACGAGGATGAGTTTCACGAGCGCTGGCGCAAGTATCCTTGTCCCGAGCCTGGATGCAACCGCAGCTTCTGGGGATCCAACTCGTTCAACCAGCATCACAAGCAGTGCCACGGATGCAAGACTTGCCCTCACGCTGAAAAGGTGGTCAAGTTCCTTCGCAAGCGCAAGTACTGGGCTTGTGGTTTCTGCTCTGCTCTTCATCCTGCCCGCGAGCGCCATGTCGAACACGTTGCTCGACACTTTGAGTCGGGTATGTCAAAAGGTGATTGGATGCATTCCCGTGTTGTGTATGGTCTCCTCCATCAGCCTCTGATCCACGAGGCTTGGGATGCATTGGTTGTGAGCAAGCAGGCCGAGTACAATGGCCGACGACCCCAGTTCAGTTGGCACCCAAGCAAGACTGGCCGTGCCCAAGGTTTCCTCGAGAACGAGAACCCCGGCCAACTCCAAGACCTGCTCGAGTTCTTCTCGGGGGATGAAGGTGAAGCTCAGTGGATTGTCAGCGTTGCGTATGACCTGGCCGACATTGTTCTCACCTCAGCACCAATCCCCTCTCCGCAGTACTCACACGCCAGCCTTGGACCTCAGGGCTTTACTCACGACCCTCGAATGTCGTTCATGCCTCTGCCTACCCAAAGCCATGGAGGTCATCAGTCTTTGATGCCTTCACCTGATCCCCAACAGACCCAATTCAGCTCACCATTCCGCAACACGATAATGGTGCCTTCCCAGCAATTCCCCTCACCCTCAAGACCGTCGCCAGACTCTTCGTCTCACTCACCAATGGGACCCTCAACATCACCATTGATGCCGCCACCAGCGCCTTCCCCGCTTGAGAAGCGTGAGCTACCGCCGCCGCCTCACTCACAAGGCCACGACGCCGGTGAGTCGATGATGGACTTTGAGTACTCACCAGCACCGCCTGTCTTGTTTGACGACTGGGAGAGTCTCACAGGTTCTGTTGTCGAACAGCCCGGCCAACAACATGACGGAGCTACGGGTGGCTGGGGTATGGTGCAGTACTTCAATGACCCTCGCGTCACCTCATGAGCTTAAGCTTGCCACACACTCTTTGACTTTTGGACATTACTGAGCCATCTGATTTGCTTACCCAGTTTTGGGTTACCCACGTTTTCCTTGAATCGCATCAACAACAACCTTTGCGGACCTTCGGGTGTTCCTGCAAGCATTTTCCTTTTTTGTTTTTCCTTAGTAGATAATGATAATACCCCTTCATCGAGACGACAGGTGAGGGCATCTGGATTGTTTTTTTATCTTGTCACGGCAGGCTGAAAGAAATGTATAGGGCTTCTCATGTCCTGGTCCTGGATTAAAAAGGTGGAGTTGGGTGATGCTGCTATCCTGTCGTCCTTTGTTTCCTTTTATGTCATTGATGGATGAGAATATATGGGAGTAACTGGGTTGGTGGATTGAATAGGGACAAAAACCGGTGGTTGAGTGACTGAGGGAGGAAGTGAGGATGTGTACTGGCCTTGAAGTTGGTGCGCATTTACAGCGACGCTGAATAGCCATATGCTGTAAGATAAGATAGGAAGAGAAACAAGAAAGAAGAAAGGAATAGAGACCCCGAAGGAACGGATTTGAATGTATGAGTGCGTCAGAGGCTGAGATATATGGGATTGATTTGAGGAATGTAGTGGGAAATGAGGTGGTGTCTGAGACAATGGGCTGGCATGTACGCCGGGCTTTTGGTTGAAGGGTCGCACGCTCAGGGAGATGTATGTCTTGGATCTGTTTGGGTGCATGTAGATATAGTCACGAGTTACGATGCGTTTAGCTGTAATAAACACTGAGTTTTACTTTGACTTGAAGATACAGACTGGTGTTTGGTGATGACTGACTTGGTGCAGAGTTGTGAAGTCATCGCCAGACAGGGCTCTTCTGAGCGACATAGAGTGAATGATGAAGTCAATTGATGAATGCTGTCGCCTGAACAGAATCTGTAACTTACAACACATGGGTGAAGAAAATGAAGTTTGCTTGTTCTACCGTCATGGTTATTGTCCGTCTTTGTTCACTCATATGGTGGTGGTGTGCATGGGTGAAGGCAGTGGCGACAGCCTCATGAACACCATAAGATCCCTTATTGTTCTAGCAGTGCCGACTTTCCATGAGTACTTATATAACCAAGATGATATTACCTCCAATGAAGTCATCTTTCTTCCTTCACCAACAGTTTTGAGATCCGTAAGGCAGAGGATATCACTAACAGACCAACACACACACCACCAGGACCCTCGCCCATCATGCCTAGCAAGCGCTCAACCCGCAAAGTCGGCTTTCTCGACGCCCTAGGCCAATGGACAATGGGTCCCTCCCAACGTCGCAGCCGCCGCTGCCGTCGTCACCCACGAAGCACATCCGCAACCCGCGAAGCTCGTCTCGCAAACGCCCCTCCGGAGCTTAACCTCACAGCCGCTCAATGGCGTCACTACGCTGACGTCCCTCCTGAACCGCAGGATGATTGTGACTGCACTGACTGCGGCGAGGAGTATTCTGACGATGAGCGCAAGCCTCTTACGGGTGTTGAACCGGTGCAGAAGATTTGTTCCAAGTGGTCGCATTCTTCGGGGTCGGCTGTTACGCGTGAACCTACGGCTGTTCATAGAGATTCGGGTTTGAATCGTATTTTGGGGAGGGTCGAGGCGGAGACGGCGGAGGAGCAGAGGCTTAGACATCGGGTGAGTTATGATGCTGATAATGATGCGCTCTTTGCGAATATTCCTCGTCGGGATCAGAGGAATGCAGGTGAGATTGTAATCCATCGTCACAGACTCGGCGACGGGGATGATTATCTTGCGGTCGAGACCTTTGGACACAGTGATGTCAACCATGGCGACATTGGAGCCAGTGATTTGAGCCACCGCAACACAGATGTTCAATCAGTTCGCTCATCGCAGTTCTTTCTCAATCCTCGTGAAGCACCCCCCGTGCCACAGGATAACTGGCCTCGACCGCTTCAGCATATCCCCGAGAGCTCACAGACGAGAATTCAGTCTTGGAGAGATTGCGTCAAGGATGAGCCGGAGCCTTCGGTGTTTGGGGGCAGTAATGCTCCGACGGTTTGGCCGGGGAGCGGAGAGACGGTTGTGCCGGATGATAGTCTGACGGAGGTTGTTATACGGAATAGTCGGAGATCTTCGCGGAGGAAGTGAGTGAGTGAAGCTGGTCTTTGCTGTAGAGTCTTGAGATTTGCACTGGAGTTGAGGTAAGTCTTTGGTGTAAGTCGGAGAGAAGACGGTAAGTATTGATAGCTAGGTCTTAGTGAGAGGCCTAGACTGAGCCTTGAATGGTCAGTACAATAATAAATTTCCTTTGTCTGTAATACCTGTCTGATGCTGACGCTGAGTGATGTGGTCGTAGTAATGATTGTAAGTGGATGGCCTCAGCTGACGAGGGATTGACATGGCAGACTGATAGACAGATGCCAATACTGGTGGCGCTCTATTGTCCCAGGTAGTATATGGAGCGATATCAATTGATTGGCGAGTTTGTTACCAAGTGTTGTACTAACTGAAGCCAATTGAGAACAATACAAAGAAATATTGAAGCTTGACTTACACCAACAACTCGAGACCCATGTCCCATGCCCCGGCTCCACAATGTACCGCATATCACTAAGACACATCGGGCCATCTCCATCTCCAACTCCAATTAAACGCGACGCGCGAAGGGAGCTTCAAACTTATTAAACTTGGACCTTTATACATCACGCCCCGCAGTTACAACGACACCGCAACCTTGCCAACAGCCCTCTATACCCATTATATCTTGGCTTCAGTAGTTTCAGCTTCTTCTCTGATCACTCGCGACTGTTTACAGAGCTTCAAAGACGACTTGGCGACCCTGCGCGAGGCTATAGACCCTTTGCGACACTTTCGAATGCGATTGACCATTGGATCCTTTGTTCAAAGATTGCTCCATGAATTGATGCTTTAGACTTTTGTTAGGTGGATATACTATAAAGGTAAACCCTCAGCACGACTCTGAATCAATTGCGCCCCATTTGCCCTGAGGTCTCCCTTCATCAACCTCCCAATTACACCCAGCTAACTCCCCAGTGCCCATAATGAACACCCTAGACGATGATCGATTGTCCGCCAGCTCGGCTGACTCAGACAATGACAACGACAACGACAACGACAACGATAATGACAACGATAACGACCGCAACGACGTCGACGAGACAATGGAGGACGCTGACGACAACGGCGATCAAGATCAAGACGCAGAAGGCGACGACGATGAGAATAACGACGACGAAGACGATGATGAGAACGCCGATGCAGACGCCGATGCAGACGCCGATGCAGACGCTGAAGGCGAAGAGTCTCAACCGCCTGCGACAGACTCGAACGATCAACCGAGTACCCAGATAAAATCTGAACCCGATGATTCGCAATCGCAAATGAGGAAATCTGCTACACCCGCTCCGAGTCTCGACAAACGGTGGCCGCAGCCGTCACCCGAGTTTATCAGCGCTGCATCTTATGATATCGTGCCGACCATGGCTGCGCCGCAATCGACGAGTGTTAACGCGATGGCTATTACACCGGATTTGAGATACTGGATCACGGGAGGTTCGGATGGGTATATTCGCAAATATGATGGTCCTAATACGATCAATGGCAAGTTGGCTTTGACGGTTGCGCAGAGACATCCGTTTGTGGACAGCGTTACCAAGGCTGGTATACTCATGTCGTACTGGGAGAATGAGGAGCCGCCGCCTCCGGGACGGGGAGACCAGGAACACATCCTCTCACCTGTCTACTCTCTTGCTGTTCAGTCGCAGGCTCTTTGGTTGCTCTCAGGTCTCGAGTCGGGGGGTATTAATCTCCAGAGTGTCCGACACGACGAGGGCAAGCGAATTCACTGTCTGCAGCAGCACACAAACGCTGTATCCGTCTTAACAATGGCACAGGACGAAAAGAGCGTTCTCAGCGGTGGATGGGACAAGAACATCTTTGATTGGGATCTCAACACAGGCCAAACGATTCGAAGCTTCGATGGCAACGCAGGTCAAATTTCAGCTCTTGAACTCCGTCCTGCAAGCGGCGCTCCCATCCCAGAAGACGACGATGAGCCACCACCTCCTACAACAATTGCTACAAATAACGCGGCGCCTATAGCGAATGGGAACTTCACCGATGCACTCACCAACGATGGAGTAGACGATATGACCGCTGACTTCAACGCCAACCCCAGCAATGGCGATGGTGATGGTGCAGCTTCTCCTGCGCACGACAGTCTCTTTGGAGGAAGTGACGCGGGGAGTTTATTCGGCGAGACAAAGGAAGATCAACCCTTTGGCAACGACGATGATGAATTCGCCGCTGTGATGCCGGGCCACAGTCATGATAGCGCTATGGACCATTCAGCAGACATGGCCGCTCTCGACGCAGGAAAAGATCCAGAACCAGAACCTGAGCCTGAGCCTGAACCTGCACCGGTCGTTGAACCGCCTCCGCCTGAACCATCGCAGGATACAAGCGACGCCATGGATGTAGATCTCGTACCAGCTCCAACACAAGCTACAGAACCATCTCAAGACCCAGCTCCCAAGTCCGAACCAACATCCCCCTCGCTAATGCTAACATCGCATACCCCTACAAACCACGATCCAACACAAACATCAAACACGACGTTCCTATCAGCCGCGATGGACGGTTCGTTGAGGATCTGGGATAGACGCCAGCCAGATCCTGTAGCGCGTATCGGTACGCGAAATGGTGTTCCGCCGTGGTGCATGGGCGCGTGCTGGAGTCCCTCCGGCAACAACATCTACGCGGGCCGTCGAAACGGGACGGTGGAGGAGTACAATATTCACAAGGCGAAGAGGAACTGGGAACCTCACAGGACGCTCAAGTTTCCCGCTGGCAGTGGAGCAGTCAGTGCCGTGAGACCCATGATAAACGGCCGTCATCTCGTCTGGTAAGTCCTCCCCATTCCTTAGTATCAATCTCTACTAACGGAACTAGTGCCTCCCACGATATCATGCGTCTCTACGATCTCCGTGAATCACCCTTCAAGCACTCCAGCGTTCCCTTCCTCATCATCCCTGGTCCTCCCCGTGCAGGTGTCATCTCCAGTCTCTACATCGACCCGACAAGCCGCTACATGCTCAGCGCTGCAGGCACAAGAGGCTGGGAGGGTACTAGCACAGAAGTCCTCATCGGTTATGAGATTAATGCTACCAATGGATAGCCGTCGGCTCGGGTTAAAAAGGGAGAGCCTTGGGTACCTCTCAACTGGAACTGACTCTCCAACTTTGGGACTTGGTCGTCTTGCTTTATATATGCTGGAGTTGGTCATGGCGAGCTTAATTTATAGTAGGATTTTCCTGCCCTGTAGTACTTAGACAAAATTCCATTCTTATTCCTCAATTCTTCCATCTTCTCGAGTCACTCAATCAGCAACAGTCAGAGTTTGACATACAATACTTGTACAATTTCTACACCAATATCTACCTATTTTACAATTCCCATCGCAAGTGGCCCATTCAATCACCCGGAACCCCAACTCTCCCGACTGCGATGGTACAAAGGAAATACGGTTAATATGTGCTGTAACCATGATATGAGTACGACCTGGCGTGCAGAATATGCAGACAGGTTGCTGTCCTTCAGTCGAAGCTGATCAGATCTTCGTCCTCATCATCTTTGTCCTCGTCATCCACAGACAACTCGAGTCCAGTCTCAGTGCCCGATTGAGCAGGCCTCTCCTCGCTGGTGTCGGCTACTTTGCAAGGTGGATACCTCATTGACCAATGTGTCCGAACTATCTCTCCATACTGCCGCTTGCCGTTCTCCGATGTCGTTGTTCGTTGGTAAGTCTCGCTGATGTGGATCGACGATGGACTCCGGCGTCTCTTCGCTTTCGCGTCCTCCAGCAGCTCTTTATCCTTTTTCGCCACCTTTGCGGGGCTCCATTTCTCAGGGCTCGATTCCTTGCGACGGGAGCTTTCCTTTGAGGCATCCGTGAGACTCTCCAGGAGAGTAGTTGCCGTTACGACACTATTCGCAGTTTGGGTTTGCTGAATCGTTTCCGCATAATAGCCTCCCTCCATGATTTGCTCACTGGTTGGCTCCAAGTAATGTTGCCCAGCCTGCGCAATGTGTGGTGAACTTGGAGCTTCAAAGGTCGGGGGCTTCTGGGGGTCGAACCGGCGAGTTGGAGATGTTCCCTGGCTGCGTCCTCTCAAAATCGTTCTATCGCTTCGTAACTGAGGCTGATTGTCAGGCCTTGCTGATTTGTTGATCGAGTTCCGGCCTCCTCGACCGGCTGCAACTCCCCTGCTGGCCCGAGAACCAGTGTTCTGTGGTCCACGAGGTGCTTTGGGAGCTCGAGCAGGCACTTCAGAGGTTCTGAGGGCCAACTTCATTTTTGGAGGCTCATCGCATCGTCGAGGGCACTCACAAGGTTGCCAACAAAGCGATTCGCACTTGTGGCCACACTTCAAGACCTTTTCGCACTTCTCCAGGCATTTGACCTCGCTCTGGTCGAACTTGTGACAGGTAAGGCTACATGAATGGCCCTCTGCACACGTGTACTCGCAACTTTTGTCGCAACCTCCTCCAGGGATGTGTTTCCAGCCATTGGCATCATTTATCTTTGTTCGTTGCCCATGGTTATGGCAAGTGACTGGCAGGCAAGTGTCGATACTCTGGCGTCCCTCAAATACATCCAACACCTTTCTCCATGTATTGTAAGCCTCCGACCTTTCTTCTCGCACGAAAGTTTCGGAGTTGCCGAAGATATACATCCCGCATCTCGCTCGGCTGGTGGCCACGACTGCCCGATTCTCATTCCCAGTAAAGCCTGGACGGGTGCTTCGGACTAGCGATAGCAGAATAATGTCGTTCTCTTCGCCCTGGAAGCCATCGACAGTCCTTACTGACCACTTCTTTAAGGGATTCTTGAGTTCCAGAAATGGATCTCGACGAAGCTTCTCAGAGATGAGGGTGACCTGCCCCTTGTAGAAAGTCAACACGGTGATTCGCTCTGGGTCCACGCCGTTCTGAACAAGATATCGCACGAAGCCGACTATCATGTCTGCTTCATCTGGATTCGAAAATGAAAAGTCGTTGGCATTTTGCATCTCTGGCTCCTCGTGATCAAACCACCAGAGACTCTTCCCGCCCATCCCTGGTATAGGAGGTCGGTTGTCTGGCTCGTAGACAGAAGAATGATCGGTGAGCCTGGGGTAGAACGCGTTGACCACCTCGCGGATCGCAGGGACCATACGACGCTGGACTCGAAGCATACTATATGGCAAGTTGAGTTTGACCAGGCGCTCAAACAAAGAGACATGCATGTTGTAGGGCGCGCAACCGAGTTCTCGAACATCTACAGATGGAACCAGTTGCTGGTGATCTCCGACGAGTACGACCTGGTCAAGACTGGGATAGAGAGCGGAACTAATGTTGGCTTCGCGAGTTTCAGCCGCTTCCTCGATCATCAATATGCGGGGCTTCAATGCTGCGATCAGACCGCGATACTTGGACAGTCCGGTGGTTGTGCAACCCACGATCTCAATCTGTTCAGCCTTGATGATCTTGGCGTCGGTCTCCCATCGGCTGACTTTGACATCATCACAGGCTTCCTGGTACTCTTTGAGAAGCTGAGGGAACTTTTCAGCTCGTGCGCGGACAAGTTCTTCTCGTAGGAGGCGATAGACACTGCCGCGATATTGTGGCATGATCTTATACAGATCTTGATGCTGTTTCAACAACTTCCGGGCTCGGTGGGCCCAGGCGGCTTGTTTCGAGAGTGCGCCCGGAAGGGTACCGGTGACATTGAACTTCATGGGAAAGAACTCACCATAGAGTCTCTCCTTCTGGTTCTCCTGCTGCGTTTCATCGATAGCCTCCTCCTTTGCAGGATCTTCAGCCTGGTTCTCAGGAGGGCGATAAACATAAGTGGTGTCTAGCTCGACGGAATCCTGGAGCCACTGTGCAATGAGAGAGTCGATCTTGGTTCCATCATCACGACTGACCAAAGCAGCAGATTCCCACTCGTCATCGTCCAACGACTCGTATTGGGCATCCGAGAGGAGTCCCTCTCGAAGGAACTCTTCAGCTGGGATTAGAAATGCAGGGAAGCATTCCGACAGTAACTTCTCAATTCTGCCGAGAACTTTTTTTCTGGCGCTCTCACCCCTGTTACCACCTCGAGCGAGCTTTGAGTTGTTTCTGAGATTGTACAAAGAACGTTCTTCTATCGCATCGTCTTCTGTACGCCCACCAAGGCGCACAATGATGGCTCCAAAGACTGAGAGTCGATCTAGAAGCTGATCGAGAGCGTGGTTGGTTTGAGCCGCAACTATAATGGGCGGGACATTTTCGTGTCTGCTTTTTCGAGATTTGAGAGTTTGAATATAGCTTTCAAGGGCTACAACTGATGTGAATGTCTTGCCAGTACCAGGAGGACCTTGGACGACAGCCAGCTCTTGGTGGGTCATGCGTTCGAAAGCTTCCCTTTGAGAAGGGTCAAGGTGATCAGCTCTTCCAGGAATACGAGGAGTTTGCCCTGGGGTGTCTGCTAGGTAGGCGGCCACGTGTTCCGTATTCGACTCATGAATGATGTATTTGTCAAACTTGGAACTGAGGAATGTTAGTTTGAGAATTGAGTATACAAGGGGGAAACACTTACTCAAACTTTGCAGCATGTTGCAGCCCAACCATTGCGTGACGAACAGTCTCAAAATAACCTCCTTTGGCTTCGAGCATCACCATCTCGACCGAAGGATCAAAGACAGCGGTGTTACAGTCGGACCAGAAGATCTCGATCCGGGGTGGAGTGTCCTCATTTTCACCATCCTGAGGATCGGGTTCGAGACCACCCACGACGTATCGTGCTGCAACAACTGCGACATAGCATTGGGTGTTGAAGTTATCACCGCGGGGAGACAGCACAACAAGGGTACCAGCAGTAAGCCGGTTCGACTGCCTCCACTCAACTTTGGTGGATGAGCGCTCTGTCGAGAAGGAAATGCGACAGGCAGGTCCGGACCTGGCGAACAAGTAGCCTTGGACGTGTACCTTACAGCTGTTAGTGGAAGACTTGAGGAAGAAGAAACTGTAACTGACTTGTGTATAGATGTAGAAATTGTCTCTGTCCCCCTCCATCATGGTAGGCTTGTTCCTGAAGCAGTTAATTGCTTGCCGAAGAAGCTCAGTGCCCTCGAAACGATTGGTGAGATAATGGAATTCAAGATAAGCATTCTTGGCATCATGTTCAGATATTTCCTTGTCCGCTGGTGGATGGGGCAAGGGAGCTGGATCGATGGACATCAGTTCGCTCGGGTGAGGGAACTCTGGAGCCATGTGCCAAGGGACGCTCCCAGTTTTTGGCAGATCATTCTTGTGCTTGACATGCTGAGTAATGATCTCCAAAGAAGACGGGTCATTTAGGACCTTGAAGGCATTAGTATGTGAGGAGAAGAGGCATGGTTGTAACACTCACCTGGTGTTGGTCCCCCATTTTGCAAGATGAAGATGTGCCTTGCTCGATGAACTCGGTGCCACGGAGAAGCACCAACAACTGACGTTGGAAGGAAGAATGAGGACAGTATCAAAGAGATAAGAGATGGGTAAAAGGCTTGTTATGTGATCAAAAAGCAATGAGTGCTTGGTGATGGAAGAGATGTGAGCAGTGTTATAATGAGAATAGTTGATGACGGAAAGGAAGAGTGCGATTAAAGAAGAGAGAGATGCAGAGGAAGACTCCGAGCAGGAGACAAAGAAGAAGAAGCTGTTTCTTGAACTGCTTGTTGCCCAGCAGCTCTGAAGAACGAGAAGGAGAGAAGAGAGAATGGGCGAGAAGATGCAGGTGCAGGTATGCCTAAGGACTCAACTCAAGTTTTTGAGTCCAATGAAAAGTTGAGGATGCAATGTTGATGCCAGCTGCCCGCCAGGTGCCACTTGCAGATATATTTCTCTTAGCGGGAGGTGGTTACCCGTCCCCTGGCTCCAGTTGCTCCAGTAGGGTTCCAGCGCAGTAGTAAGTAAAAGGCCTCAGGGCATCCAATCATAAATTGCGATCAAGCTTGGAGGATCCGTTTGATGCTGAGGTGAAGCTGTAGGGGGGTTTATATCAGTTGTTTTGATCGTTGGGGTATATCTGATGAGTGTCAAGAGTATTGTGCTGTGCTTCCGGTGAGTGTCCAGGCACTAAGTTGCCTCCTTGTCAAGCAGGACACAGTTGGTATCTTGAAAAGATGATGTTGCCTTTGAAGAGCGATTTTAGTTATTGAAACATGTTGTATTGTTCCAATTTGTTGTAGTAGGAACGGTTCGTTGTCGGCGGAAGTACGGGACACTCCAGGAGCAGAAGACAGCAAGGCACACGACGCCTGGGAATGGCGAAAGGGAAGGTGAGAATGGAGATTCGCGAGACCCAATTGATTTGAATAGTTCTACCAACTCAACGATGGATCGCTGGTGTTATCGTAGAGTATATGTGTCCTGTGCTCGAACGTCGTGGTTAGCATGTTGGCGCTCAACCAACAAGTTCCAGGAGTCTACCTTTTTCGCAATTGACCAAAGACACAAACCGTTCATGAACAACCGTTCGTGATCGCTCTCGTAACTTTAATGGATAGCTGTTTCTTGTCGCTGTCGCTCGTGGGTAATGCACCGTCTCGTAGCGTCGCAGAAAAGGGGTAATTCGTCGCGCATCATCAATCAGAAATCGTCTTCAAAGTCGTTCAACAGCAGCTTCAAGAACATCATATGAAGCGCCACGTCTATTTAGAGAAGTGAAAAGAAATAAATGGAAGAAGAGAAGGAGAAATTCTCTGATAAACGCAGAGTACCCCCTGGTGCTTGATCTCGGAAACCTGCATATGGCTACACTCAGCAATTGTCATGTCCTCTGCACGCTCCCACTCAGTGCGTCAGTCAGAAATGGCAGAATGGGCGTTTTGCATCGGAATCATGGCAATTTGCATATTGTGCATGTTTGAATCATTGCCCTGGCGTGTCTTCAGGGACTATGCGGGATCTTGCATCACGACCGGGTTTACGACCAATGAAGGCGATGAGCTACAGAGCAATGTGACACATGCGGCCGTTCTACATGGGGATGGACGAGATTTGGCAGCAGTTAATCAGGGCTACGGGGTCGATGTGTCATGATAGAAGGACATGGGTTGTGACTTGTCATGTATCTCTTTGTCGCCGTATCATTTGTGAGTGACTGGCGAAGAAACTGCTTGCTGCAACGAGCATTTGCGCAATTGTAAGCATGCATAGGCAAACAGTACGCAACAATTGCTGTTTGGATATCAGGCTACATGCAGCAAGCGTTGACCTATTCATTGACTGGCATGTCAAACGACACATGCAAGCCTCATCATCAATCACAAGCCTCAAAGAACAAACATATGTATGAACAGAGTTGGCGATTTTATTCCTCTACAGGGTATTCCATGTATCAAACCCTCCCATTGCAAGCAACAACCCGACCGAGACCCATGATATCATGCAATCACTCTCTTCTCTTACACAAGTGTTGGTACACCACATAACAAATCGCATTTGGAACCCGCGATAATGACTCAACAGACCAAAGCCCTCTTTCGCCAGAAAATGCCCGTCGCATTCCTTTGCCTTTGACCCCATTTCGCCTGGTAAGAACACCGACCAATACCCCGGGATACCTGTCGTCGTGTACGGGCTCGATATAAATAAGCAGAATGCCTTGCTGAAAGAGACGACCAAAAACCTCTATATGATCGCAAAACCTGCATGTTCCAACTCAACACCATCAGGAAGAATCGGCCGTCCTTGCATCGGGAAGGGCCAGAAAAGGGGATTCTCCATATTGTCTCCTGTCTTTTGCACCGAAGGTGATTGTTCTCCCATGAATGATCCCGCGCCCCATTGGCACGTAATGTCTCCTTCCCTCAGGTTGGGAGAGAAGAAGTTGAGACTCCCCGTATGCGGCAAAACCAGACGATCGTACTCTTCTGCTGTGAGCTTATCGACGTTGTTTTCGACATCGATGTCCCACTTTGCGGCCAAATAACGTAGTATGTTGAGAGCCTGCTCAGCGAATTGATGGCAAGGAGCCATTTCGGTGAGATCTGAGATGCCCTGAGTGATGGATTCGGCCACGCGAGGATCCACCTTGACCGCTTTCTCCATATCGGCCTCAGTAGTGTCGGAGCCGACAGTTGTTGCACCAATCGCCAGGTGGATGATGGCTGATGTGAGAACAAAATATGGTACGAATGAGGGTGTTCGCCGCAAGGTGTAGAGTGAAGAGTAAGACCTCAGAAGGCCTTGAATGGCGTCGGCCGCCTGTGAGCAGACATCGCGAGGCGACACCTTGGATCCAATGATGCGTAGCTTTATTAGAGGTCGGAATAAGAGTAGGATCGCAAAATGGTAGTACATGCTGCTCAAGTTAGCGATCGTGGTGAAGGAAACGTGTTGAGCTCGAGACTTACTGGGCGAACAGCACAGCTGGGGTGAAGTTGTGCCCCAGTCGAAGGACCTCCGGTATGCGATCATACCAATTGAGATACTGTGTGTACATGTTCAAAAGTTCCCTTGCTGTGAGAGGTTTGCCGGGAGAATGTAGAATGTAGAGAGATTGGTGTACCAGCTCGCTAAGTTCGCAGAAGCATTTATATACAGAGCGTACATTAGACGGCTGTTGGCATGAGCGTTGTAAGGGAGCGCCTGTCACAGTAAGTGATAGTCATGGAATAACACAAAAGAAACTTACCGTCGTCAGTATAAGGCACCCACAAAGACGCTTCAATGTCTCCTATTATCGCAGGCTTTGGTGGTAAGTGAGGGAAGCAGGAGCATTGTGGTAATGAGCCTGTAGCGAGGGACCATGCACTGGTGTATCTGTTAGAGGAAAATCTCACGGTGAGAGGAGAAACTTACTGGTCGAGCGCAAATGCACCCCAGAAAGTGGCTGACTGCACAGCGAGTTCATCCTCATCTCCTTCGTCCATTATCCGGTGAAGCCCCATCTCAATGGCGAGTCGGATGCTCTGGCCAGCGTAATACCAACTCTCTGAATCTCGCCCGCAACTAGCCTCTCGGATCGACATTATCCCCAAAGCTTGGATAGTTGTAAGGGAATGGTGATCCGTTTCCTGGGCAAATAGTCGCAATGACTCCTTGAAGAAGTGGTCGCCAGACGTGTATGGATCGTTGGGATTAGCTCGAGACATGGGCTGTGTCGAAAAGCGACACCCCAATGCAAGAAGGGCATTCACCAGTATGGGTGAACAATACCGATTCCGCCCCTCTTGGAAATCCTGTAGAAAGTGTTCTTTGCTCAGGGACGCAAATGTTGGATACTCCCAACAGAAATACAACGCCAGAAGATGTTGAACAAGAACGCTATCGCCGGTAATCACGGTCCAATTTGAATTCGGTGTTCGCAGCCCCGGCTCGTTCAATGGTGAGAGGATTTGTTCAACTCCACGATATCGTGGAAGACCGTCCGAGATTTGATCGGGATTCATCCCTTCAGCCCAAGACCCAACTCGATTTTGTGACGGTCCTCGCATATCTGTCTGCCAGTTCATGACGTCGGGATGCGAGTTACTCCTCGTTGAACCCGTCTGGCTGAAGGAAGATTGCCAGGGACTATGCTGGCCCATCTCGGGCCTCATAGAAGACTGCTGCGGTTGTTGATGGTTCACGCCGAGGCTCATGGCTGCCAATGTCCCTAATCCACCTCCTGGAAACCCCGGGGTAGGACCCATGGTAGGCGCCTCAGAACGGGCAGGAAACGAAGGTATCGAGCTCCCCGCAGGGCGTGGCGCGCTTGCGAGCCATTCTGAAATGGTTTCGATGGGTTGGCCACCCCGAAGGCGTGTTAAAACCTCTTCCCATAGTTCTGGTCGGACAAGAGCGGCGAAGACTTGGTCACTTGAACGCTGCTTCTGTCGAAGAGTTTCAATTTCGGTTCGGAGGTTCTCCTTCGACTGGCGCACAGGAATCTCGTATACACATTCGGCATCTTTTTGTGCTCTACACCGTCCGCACGGTTTCTTGCCATCGCACTATAACATCAATTGTTAGCAAGAATGAGTTTACGGTATAATCAATATGGGAACAAGGCGGGCACTGCAATCAATTGTGGAAGTCCATCACAAGCTAAATAAAATGTTGTGGGACATGCTATGACGTACAAGGAAAGTGAAGAACGAGAGCCGACTACGCGACCAGGGACTTCGGGAAAGTAAGCTGATCTGCTACATACCTTTGCGCGCTTCTTGCGGCATTCTGTGCAGGCATTGGGCGTCACGACACCCAACCCTCGGCGACGTTTCGAGTTTTGTGTATGGGTGACGTTGGCTGTTGCAGGGCCAGATGCAGTCGAGGGCGTGTTGGAAGACTGAACTGAGGTGGGGGTAGGATTCCCTTGTGAGGAAGCTCCCCCAACCTGCGCAGTAGCTCCTTGCGGCGTGTGTTCAGCACTGGGTTGTCGTTGACTGCCAGTGTCTGAATGCTCATTGTCAACATCCATGGCTCGACAAACTAGCCTGGCCGCAGGCTATCGCAAAGTTACAAAAGTTTGTGGTACAGAGGAATGGTTTGCTGTTTCGCTGTTGTCGTGTGTATGGAACCCGGCGTCCGTCGTGAAGCTTTGTGAGCTCCAACCTTCAGCTCGAAGAGCTTCGGGTGGGATGAGGTCTTGGAGGGGCGACGGCGGCGGAGGGTACGGCGCAGTGTGACATGCTGCGAGGGGATTCGCGATGGTGTCGTCAAAGTTAAAACCTGAGTTTGAAGTTTGAACCCTCTCCTTATTCTCCTCTCGTCGCCGATGAATTAAGCGCTGGTTTTGGGCGCCAGAAGCGAAGATGATTTTGGGCTGTTGGTACCTGAATGACTTTCTGCTTTCTCTGTCGCGTCACGGCGGCCTTGTAGCGGGGAGAATGCGATGCGGAGACAAGACGGTTGAAGATGGCCCACCTAAGCTCTCACAATTGCATCAAGACCAGTCGTAGCGAGCCGTAGGTCAATTCTGGGTAAAAAGCCCGGGCAATGCGCATTCGTCGACTAGCTAGTAAAGTGCTAGGCTCTAGCACGACGTAACCGAACTAGAGGTGAGCTTTGAAGCTCATGAGCTCGAGGATACGCGACCAGGGGGTTTGAAGGAGCTCGGGGCCGACTCCGTGAGTCAAGGGAGAAAAATGAAGGTTTGCAGAAGTCGCAGATCAATGGCGCTTTGAAGCGCGCAATATCGTTTCTCTTTTTCTCGTCGCAATTTGCGGTCTCAAGAGGGATTAACGAGGTTGCTAAGAAGTACTGGTATACTTGGTGTCCACTCGATCGTCGATTGCGCCGGCGATAGAGACCAAAAGTTGAGCGCTGTGGTCCCTGCACAACGCGGATTGGCAACTATAGAGTTGAAACAGTTGAAGATGGTGAAGTAAAATTGAGACCGAAAGCGGAAATTTTACGCATGTAACGGAAGTTGAACAAATTGGGAGTGAAATGAGAACTGATTGATTGTAGGGATGTGTGAGAAATAGCACGATGAAGATTGGCTATGTCCAGTATGGGAATCTCTTGCGATTGCGATCACGATTATCGTCGCGCTCGATACCAGGTTCGGGCCGGTTCAAATAAAGGCATAGTAGTACGGCGAAGCTTTTCGACTGTAGCTTCAATTTGCTTGATGTCTTATTGCCCTGGTGAATGAATCCTGCGTTTCTTCGGCAATCTCTGTTGCAGATGGTATGTCTTGCAGCTATGTAGTCGATTACAGTAGCTGGGATCCTGTCTCTGTCTCACGCTGCTTCATGTCGTGGAACCGACGAGGATCGAACCGCGGATATGGAAGCTCTGTAGGAAAATATAAAAGAGTGTTGATGAGAGATGGAGATTAAAGTTGAGAAAATGATTAGGTGGCCGAATGAAGAGCTCTTTCTGGTTCTGCCTGAGGTAGAACTTGGAAGGTGCGCTCAACCTCTTCAGGTTATCAGAGGGTTGATCCGCTTTTGACTGCTGAAGAAAAGAACGAACTTTAATTTTTTAACCGGCGCAAACGTTCTTGTCTTTGTAATCCAAGATGACAGCACAAGCTAGGATTGTTCTGTCCAAAGTCCTCTGATAACCACGAGAATGAGTGCCATGGCCAGATCGACCAGACCATACCAAGCTCGAGATTTAGTTAGGGCCGTGGTCTGAGTGGGCAATGCGCCCAATGAATCGTCACCCTGCAGTTGTAGACTATCGATGAGCCTTTCTCATTGCTCGCCCTCTCATCGCCATTTTCCAGCTGCAAATCATGTCTTTTTTGAACGTCGATATGTCTGAGACAGAACAGTTTTCGTCCGCACCTCAATTCCCTCATCTTCTTGGCAAGGAAAATTACAAAGTTGTACGCCATCAAACTTATCTCCAAGCCTGATCCGAGGCCACATCCACCACAAACACGTCTATCGTCCAATTGGATCATTGCGGAGTCTGCCAGATTGTGCATGCTTCCCTGCATTTGGCGCATCCTTTGAACCCTCCATCTCATCACCGTAACTTCGCATCGGAAGTAGCCCCATGGATACAAAACTGACGACCATCACCAAGCCCTATGTCTCGTTCAGTGAGATCTCTCAAGAAGGAAAAAGGTTCAGAGCCCCTGTGCATATGATGTCAGAGATATGGTAGGCTTGCGGCGATCAGAACATCATGGTTGATCATAGGCCAGGGTAATTTATATCTTGGCAATATATGGTTAATATTAACATTGCTGGATCGAAGCACTGTCGATGGCACTGGAGCAAATGCCAAGAAAGCTGCCACACAGCACTCGGGCGATCCTGATAAATGGTCGTCCAATCAGTAAAAAGTAGCGATTTTCAGGATTATTGGTGTTCATTCCAGTTGGCTTCCTCATCTTCACCTGAGAATTAACTTTCATGCCAGGGCCATCCGTCGTAGTGCCCCTCTCAACCTTACCCCACAGTACGTCATCAGCCTCTGACAGCCTCAACGTTCAAATAATTCAGCTTGGATCATAACCTTGACCTGAGCTGCACTGTTAACATGGCCTATAATTTCGGCCTCTGTGACTGATGAATACCATGCATGTCATTCTAACAGCGATAAGGGGGGTTGAGAGAACTCTTCAATAACAAAAGATGCAGAGTTCACTGCTGTATATAGTTGATTGACAATATTACCCCAATATCCATCCATCCGTCCATGATACCACCATCCATGCTATGACCTGAGTTTCCAAACACCACCGAACCGCGCCCCGTATACATGCGCCCAGTTCCTATGCATCACTATTATACAGCCATGCTATTCAATGACAAAGGAAATAATCCATGCCTTTACTCTTCGTCAGAGTTTATGCAAACGGCTCGCGACGCCCTTTGCTAGGGCTTCGGTTTTTAACAGGGCTACGGCCTCGATCCGTCTTGCTTGGGCTCCGACGAAGTGAAGGAGTGTAAGGAGGTGCAAGAATCGTCTTCATTTTTGGCGGCGGTGTACTGTCCGTATCGGTACCATCGTCGAGCAACATGTGACGCTGCATCCTTGGTGTTTGCACAGGAACCCACATGAATCCGGGACCGTTCTCTGGGACCATGGACGGATCCTGAGGTGGAGCTGCGGGTTGTGACTGAACGGGAGGTGCTGGCTTGCTGACATATCCACCCAAGAAAAAGTTGTTCGCGAACGCGCAGAAGATAAGAACAGCGAAGAAGAATCCCTGTGAAGCGGTTAGCTTGGCGATCAGTAGTATGCTGCATGAGGTACCCACCCAAGCCTTGAGGTTCATGGCTTCGGAAAACTCGTTGATGATTTCGGCGATTTGCTTCGCGGTCACCTTGACCCTCATGATGGCTTCAGGGTTCTGTGTCATGCATTCAGACCACTCCTCGCATGCCACTCTGAGCGCGGGACGGTCGTTCTTAGCGCATCCGTTGATACTGTACTGAGTTTGGCATTCCGTAATTCTTCCCATGATCTCAATTCGTGCCATCTCGTTTGCATTTTCGATATCCGTTTTCACTGTGGTCACAATGGACCAGCCAATGTAAACAAAGACTGATACAAGGAAGAAGTTCACAATCAACTTGACCCATCTATAAAGATTGTCAGGGGCATTGGGGTGTTCATCCAACATGTGGAATAGAGATCCCAAGAAACCTCTCGGCGCTTCCTTTGTTGCCTTCTTCTTGCCACGGGTTCGTCTCGGTGCAACGCTATCTTCCGAGTCGGAGTCTGACTCTGTCCAGTGGTGCCGAATCATGCTGCTGACGTCCCTATCGAGATTATGTCTCTTTCGCTTGCGCATAAATTCTGATACGGAGAGGTCTCGAGTCGCCCGGATTTCGCCTCGACCTGGTGTATGCTTTTTGCTTGAGAAAGGAGCCTTGCTGTAACGAAAGGACTTGTCGATCTTGGAAGGACTCGTCATGCCACTCATGTTGATATCGCTCATACGGTCCGCCTCAGGAGTATCATTCGGGAAGTCGGAAACTTCTGTCTGCGCAGGGCTGTCCTCTGCACCTGAAGCTTCAGACAGCGCAAGCTCATCAAAGGGTCGTCGGGGTGTTGTAAAGGCAGGGTTGCGGAAAGGTGGCGCGGCAGCTCTCGAAGATAATTGAGGAGTGAAAGAGGATTGCGGCGGTTTCGTTTTTGAAGGTGTCCCTAAATTTGCGAAAGGATTCTTCGATTTCGAAGGGGAGGCAAAGACTACGAGTAACGGTTAGCAAAGAGCTGCCGGATATCGTTGATGGTGGAAGCTACAGCTACAGCTACAGCTGCGACGCTGGTAAAGGCTAACTTACTGTTCTGCGAGTTACTCTTTGCTGCATGTGCAAAAGGGCTTGTGGGATCCAAAGGGCCACTGTTCTGGTACTCCCAGTCCATGGGACCTTCGTAAGTTCGACGATCCATAATCGATGATAGCTATTGTGTAGCCCGAATAATTACGGTATAAGGTTCGCCAGATGGACACAAGTTGGGTTGACGCTGGGACAGCTTGAGTGAATGAAAGCTGCTGCCAAATCCAATCCATCAAAGTATCCTTCAATTCATCCGTGGCAACCAAAAAGGTCAAAGTAAACAAAGGGTGCGGGCCACCTGCCTGAGGTTTCTAGGTGGAGCTTAACGATTATGTCAGCGAACAGGGGTCGCGCCTCGCACCTGTGGCGGCTCTAGCCAGACAAAGAAAGTTGAAGGTTTGCGAATTGCCAATCTCTCATATTCACAGCTTTCGACGAATCTTCACCAACAAATTTTCAAGCACAAGGCTCTCGCGAAGTCTTTGAAGCGCTGTGAATACCAAGTTCCAACAACCGATAAAGAACTCCCAGAGCGATCTCGCACGATCAACGACGCGACGCCATGTCGGAAAGGGATTCCCCAATTGGCGAGCACGCCAATGAGCCTGTCAATGATGGCCAGGAGCAAGAATATGAAGATGCTGTCGCTGCGGCTGACTCTGATCGCGACTCCGATGCGCTGTCCGAGGTAGACGAGGATCAGTTCGAGGATTACGACCCCGAAACTGCCAACATTGAAGACCGTCCCGTCGACATCGATGAAGATGTTGCTCGCACATTGAAGGCTACAAAGCGAAAGCGCGCAGACGGAGAGGCTCCAAAGAAGCCCCGTGAAGGTCGCCGAGATAAGAAGCGCCGAGATCGAGATGAAGATATTGATATGGATGATGCAGAGGATGGGGGCAAAAAGTCACGACGATCAAGACGCGCTGTTGGTGATGGAGAGCGACGTCAACGCACTAAGCCTGCTAGTCCAGAGCCTGAGAAGGAGGAGAATTTGACACCGGCGGAGCGAAAGCAGCGAGAGCTCGACCGAATGATAGATGCGGCAATCAAGAAGCCAAGCGGTCTCAAGCGTAGGAAGAAGGATGAGATTGTAGGTTTCAAAGTGCATATGCTCAAGTTCTTCCGCTGATTTCTTTTTAACCAGGATCTTGAGGACGAGATTGATGACCTTCTAGCGGATCTCAAGGTACAGATGGAGCAGGCTTGCCAGGCTGATAACCAGGCTCGTGAGGCTGGTCAACCAGCTCTGCACAAGCTGAAGCTTCTCCCTGAGGTCACCGCTATCTTGAACCGAAACAACGTCCAACACGCCGTTCTGGACCCCGACACGAACTTTTTGCAGCACGTCAAGTTCTTCTTGGAGCCTTTGAACGACGGCTCACTTCCAGCGTACAACATCCAACGTGACATTTTCAACGCTCTCGCCAAGATGAACATCGAGAAAGAGGCACTCCTCAGCAGCGGCATCGGAAGAGTGGTGGTGTTCTATACTCGTAGCAAGAAGCCCGAACCCAGTATCAAGAGAATTGCTACACGACTTCTGGGAGAATGGAGTCGACCTATCCTAAAACGAACCGACGATTACAAGAAGCGCCAGATCGAGACCCGTGACTACGATTATGAGTTCGTATTCTCTTGCGGCTTGTTTCTTACACGTGCTAACTTTTATACCAGGTCTGCCAAGATGGCACAACGCCAGAAGACCAGCTCTCAATTCAGTCTTTCCCAGCGTCCTGCCGTCAACGCCAAGGATGCTGAGCGCGAACGTCTACTGGCCCCATCGCGAGGTAACAACTCGGCGCGCATGGTCAACTTGCCTTCGAGCTACACTGTTGCTCCCCAGAGCACCTTTATGGGCTCGCAAAACTCCAGCCACCGTCCCCTTGGTGCTGGTGGTATGGAGGCTTTCCGCAAGATGGCTCAGAAGAGCAAGAAGCGGGCTAACTAAAGCCAAAATATCCGGTTGGATCTTGTTCAGAGCTTCTCGGAACGTACCATATTCAGGCGAGCATGACGGTTGTAAGCTATTAGTTGAGACAGAAGATGGTTGATGCACGCGGGTTCTGGGTTTGGCGTTTTCGGCGTTCACATAATAGGCTATTAAACTCACCAAAATTGGAGCCCTCATGATGGGCTAATGCGAACTGCCTTTTCTTATCGTCCATGGTTGTGACTCTGATGCTTGTGATGTGAAACGCGGTTGTCCCGTGCTCTTGAGACACCAGATGATATGACCAGTGGGCTCCCACGTGGTTTTGGGGATATTCGGTCGCTGAACACATGAAAGAAAGTTGAAAGTAGTTGATATGGTGGGATGATTGACTCGGCCTTGGAATCCTACATTCTTCATGGCAACCTCGGTTCATGCTTGTGAGAGCATCTCTTCTGTCACTCTGGCATCACTTGGAGAAGCATTGCCCAACATGGCTTCAACCATAAGAGTTTAACTTGTGTAAGTGGAACACAAGCATGCCTTACTCAAAGCATAACATCCCAGATCCCCGTACAACGGAGTACGGTCCTAAAGCGCTCAAGTTGAACAAGTCTATTTTCTCACTGGGTGTACTTGAAATATGGGGTTTCACGACTGGGCTTTCGGGAAGTCTTCCTTGGTAAGTCCCTGGAGCGGTGACGTCAGATCGGGCATTGAAGCCCAAAGATTTTGGTGGTTGGAGAGGCTGGAGTTGAAATTCAATGCTTATGAATGCGAATACGATTTGGGGTAGGTATAGCAGAGAAGTCGGCAACACAAGGTAAATTGTAGTGATCATAGAGTAATATCAACATGAAGCTGAACTGAATATTGATATCTTTTGAATTAATAGTTAACTCGCCGCATCCTTGCAGAAGAACGACCTGGAGAGCCCTGTTCATGTTGTCCAAGTACCTCATGGACGTGGGGTACCTGCAAGGTCTTGGAGGAATGGCGTCAGACTCTCGAAATCTGCCAGTGAGACTGTCGATTTAGCGCGTATCTTTTTGATAACTGATACCTTCTCCAAATGCCACTAGCTGTCTGTCTCAACCCAAGCTTCGATTTCAGGCACAGGGGTTACAAGACCCGAGATCAAGTTTCTCTCGGGGGATCCAATGCTAACGAGAAGCTTCCTCTGGTGCATCGTCATAATCCTGTCAGTGAGACGTTGGGTTGCTTCAGGGTCGCGGTGAATGATATCCACATGTATAGATGCATCTCGTAGAGCGCCCGCCTTTGAGTATCGTCGTGGTTGAGGTCTCAGTCATGTCTTGTCTTGCATTCATCTGAATCTGGTGTTTTCAGATGAACCTTCAAACCAAACTTCATGTATGATATCTCTTTATGCTTTTGTCAAGACAAGAGAGTGCGCTTCCAGTTCTATTTCGGTGTCTTGTCTTTGCGCTAGAAATTAGATCGCAAAATTTGAAAATCAGATTTAACTAGTCCTGCACTTGCACTTGTAGATACCTGACCTTACAAATGATTGCAAAATCTGTTGGCTGCAAGAACCTCTCACCAACCTTCCTCATCAACCCGGACCCTGGGCTGGCTTCTTCTAGCTGCCCCTCCTCGTCTCCGACTGATTATATTCTTCCTCCTTCCTCTTCGTTTCTTCTCCAAGCAAGATTGTATCTATCACAACACCTACCGAAAGAAACCGTCGCAAGTCATTACTCGGACAACCAGATTACATTCAAGTATCCATCCATATTACAGCGTATTAGCTTACACTGGGACCAATTCACCAAGCACAGTCACTCACTGTGCTTGATTGAACCTGGTCACCTCAGATTGCGCCGCCACTTATTACTGCGCAACATCTTTTGGTTTGACTTGCAAAAGGATCTACCTGGACGCCACTGCCGCACCACGACCGCAATTACCCTACCGTGCTCATCTCCCCGATCTATTCTTCTCCTGACTCTGTCCAACACCTTCAACTGCCTGAGCGATTTTGATAATTCTTGAGAAAGCATCTCTACGAAAGAAAAAGAACAATAATAACCCCACGTCCATCGAGCGAGCACTTACAAGCGCCCCTCTTCCCCCACTTCATCTCGACATTATTTCTTACCGACGCCCAAAGGAACCCAGAAGCTGTCGCATCCGACATTACGATAAAGCCGTTGAACGATTTCACGACCCTGACCATTGACGACCTGGCGACACAGACGCCAGATATATCTCGACTTGCCCTTAGAATATAGGCCCTGCACTGTCGCGCGCAGGCAGATTTGACGAACACACCACAATGAATGGCACACAATCCCCCGACGCCCAAAAGGCATCAAATGCCAACACCAACGGAGGCAACAGTAACAATAGCAGTCTTGCAGCCAAGAAGCGGAAGAAGGACCTGAAGCCGATCATCACTATGGAGGGTACAAACCAACCAGCTGGGTATGTATAAAAAGTTTCCTTGTTGATCTTTTGAGTTCCGGTCGCATTCTGTTTTGGTTATCTATAATCTTCTTCGCATTCTTTCCCCATGTTTTGTTTTCGTTGCAACCGCACAACCCTACACAACCTTGATTTTGGGGAACTTGGTCGCACATGACTTTGACATTCACCTCGAGAACGCTGGTTTTACGGATCGCATGGCACCATCCAAAATCTCCAAAGCGCCGCTGGTCCGATGTCGCCAACGGCCTTGATACAACCCAACTACTCTAGCTACATTACACATCAGCTGTTGCTGCGGATATGAGACCAGATCCACAACTTCCATGTGCCTTGTTATGAGGGAAACAGATACTGTTTTTAGGAAGGATCAAGCACCATTCCATTCATATCGCCAAAATGGACACTCAACGAATATGGCGCGGCATTGCATCACCATACAGAAGCAGTGAGGCAGATTGAAACAAGTGTGGACACTGCTCACAGTGGCTGTTCTGGGGCCCGTGTGCTTGGGCCTTGATAGGAGGATACGACCCCATAAGTCTTGGGCATTCACCAACCTTGGATCACTCGATCGATCACTGGGTCCTCTGTACCTGATTTTGGTCTGCCCTGGAGGTGGTGCAGTCAGTCACTTGCCCGTGGCACCTTTGATTGTGCCTGAAGCTTCTGTTGGCTGATGTATGTGGAGGAGGATGAGAATGTGATGGTGATGGTTGTGCTCATGCTGTCTGATGCGATACCACCTGACTGAGTTGTCCGCCCTTTGCCATCACTTTGCATTCTCTCTTGTCGCTCTCTCTTTTTGGACTTCGCTTGGATAGCTGGATATTTGAGCCTTGAGCTCTCAAAGACCCTTTATTCGCCGGGCGGGACGCTCCGCGTTGCGCCGCGTGCCAGCCATCCCATGGTCTCTAGCAGGGCCCTAGAAAACAGAAAGCCAAGCGACTGCAGATCCGCAAAGAACGCTGAGCCCAGAGTCAAGAAAAGCGAAGCAAATCAAAACCAAAGACAAGGAGCACGCCCCCGAGTCCAGTCGGCCTCTCATCTCCATCAATTTCTCCCTCGACTTGGCCTCGCCAGTTTTTATATTATTTTCTCCTTTCTCCTGTTTTTTTTTTTGGCTTTCACTCGGGTCTTTATGCGCCCCAAACTGCAGTCAACCTCAACCGTTACCATCGTGCACCAGAAGTCTTTGTCATCTTCGTCATTTTCGCCAGATCCTTGTTCTCTCCATCACCTTTCCTTATCCCCCGCTCATAAACCGTCACGCCGCTCACCGGCTTATCTGTCGCGCGCTGCTCCCGCGATTGTCACTATTTTCACTACCTGATTGACTTGAGCTTGTGCTCCTGAAGTTGAGGAGCAGAGAAGGACAAAGAAGAAGACTCAACGCCCGACTTATTGCCAGCGCAAGCTGCGTCATGTGAAGGCACCATGACCAGCTTTCTCAAATCAAGGTTGCACTTCCCCATCCCGTTTATGCTTTGTTGGTAGCGGTTTGACGCCTAAGCTTAGGCGTGTGTTTCACCGCTGTCAGTCAATTCAGTACCCGAGTCTTTTTGGTACCGAAATGTTCAACTGGAGCGGCCAGTTGAAGGACTTGACTCGTTGCTACGTTATCGTCTGGATGATGTTTTGATGCTTCCCCGCCATTTCACTACACCCAAGCCCAATCCGGCAAAGGTCCCCCACCACGCGCAAGGCCTCAGCTCTTTCGCCGCCGTCGCTCGCCCACCAAATCTTGCGACCGTGGTTGTTTGATCTGATTGCATTGGCTCCGCCTCAATTCTCGTTCATCATCTACACGTCGCCTTGTTGCGCTGATTTTTGCCGCATCTCTACATATATTTTAAGCCACCGCTGACCTCTTTCCCCCCTTATAGATCCCACCAGCTTTCAGCCATGGCCCACTCCCCCTCTTCCTCGTCCGTTGACGACGCCGCCGAAAATACTGCAGATGAGGAGGATTCTGAAGATTACTGCAAAGGTGGTTACCACCCAGTACAAGTTGGAGAGAAGTTCAAGGATGGAAAATACACCGTTGTTCGCAAGCTAGGATGGGGTCATTTCTCAACCGTCTGGCTGTCCCGCGACAATACCAACGGCAAGCATGTCGCCCTCAAGGTCGTCCGTTCCGCCGCCCACTACACCGAGACCGCCATCGATGAGATTAAGCTTCTCAATAAGATTGTCCAAGCCAAGCCCGATCACCCCGGTCGCAAGCACGTTGTGAGTCTTTTAGATTCGTTCGAGCACAAGGGACCCCACGGCACCCACGTCTGTATGGTTTTCGAAGTGCTGGGAGAGAACTTGCTTGGTCTCATCAAGCGCTGGAATCATCGCGGCATTCCCATGCCTCTCGTCAAACAAATTACAAAGCAGGTTCTTCTGGGCCTCGACTACCTCCATCGCGAATGCGGTATCATCCACACCGACCTTAAACCAGAAAATGTCCTTATCGAGATTGGGGATGTTGAACAGATCGTTAAGCGCGTCGTCAAACCTGAATCTGCTGAAAAGGAGAACAACCGCAATGGACGGCGGCGTCGAAGGACTCTCATTACTGGCAGTCAACCATTGCCATCTCCCCTCAATACCAGCTTCAACCAGTCGAACCTTTTCCCCTCACCGAACACCCACTCTAGTCTTGCTGGTGTCCTGAACGAAGGTAAGCAAGCTACGGATCATCCTGTATTTGGCTCAACAATGACTAATGCAATTTTGTCAACAGGCAAGTCATCAAAGGAGGCATCTCCCAAACCATCCGATGATGCCCAAAAGCAGCGAGAAAAGTCTGCGTAAGTTATTCGCCACTCAACGAAGAAGTTTCATCAGACACTAACAACATTCAAGCGACCTTCTTAGTCGAGAAGTCTCGGGCATCTCTCTAGACAAGTCAAACTCACCCTCTGCTTCAACAGGCGAAAAGCGCAAGGCAGAAGATGCGCACGGTTTCGACGTTATCAGCGTCAAGATTGCAGACCTGGGCAATGCCTGCTGGGTCAATCATCATTTTACTAACGACATCCAGACAAGACAATATAGATCACCCGAGGTCATTTTGGGTTCCAAATGGGGTGCCAGCACTGATGTATGGAGTATGGCAGCTATGGTATGTACCCCGATTTTCGTGATGAAGCTGGTTCTGGCTTTTGTAGAACATTACTGACTGTGCTCATTAGGTGTTTGAGTTAATCACAGGTGATTATTTGTTTGACCCTCAGTCGGGTACCAAGTATGGAAAGGACGATGATCACATTGCTCAAATCATCGAGCTTCTTGGGCCGTTCCCCAAATCTCTATGTCTCAGCGGCAAGTGGAGTCAGGAGATCTTCAACCGAAAGGGAGAATTGCGAAACATCCATCGGCTACGGCATTGGGCTCTACCAGATGTGCTACGCGAGAAGTATCACTTCAAGGAAGACGAAGCAAAGCGTATCGCAGACTTCTTGACCCCAATGCTGGAGTTAGTACCCGAGAAACGAGCCAATGCTGGCGGTATGGCAGGTCACGTCTGGTTGGAGGATACACCTGGTATGAAGGGGCTGAAGATTGAGGGCCTGGAAGTCGGTGGCCGCGGTGAAGGCATCGACGGCTGGGCGACGGAAGTGAGAAAGAGATAAAGTGATTATAGACGCTTCGGGCATGTCGAACACAGAGAAACAAGCGAAACACAAGTCGACAGTCCAAGGCAACCCACATGACTGACGCATGTGGGATTGACTGGTCTTTTTTTATATTGTTTTTTTGATGATCCACACGAACGGCTTGCGGTGCTACATTACACTGGTGCATCTTGACGATCTGGAACAGCGGCATCGTATCAAGCGAGCCGGGTATGAATGTATGTAGGAAGGGGGAAAGCATATGTAAGGGGAAAAAGATTCACGACTTGTCCACTGTCTTAGCGCTCTTTGGTCTAGATCATGATGAATCTTGGAGGATGTTAGGCTTACGGTATTACATGGAAGACTTGACAGAAGCGGTTGTTGGAATTACCTTGGTCAGAAGACTGTATTGCTGAAAATGATAGACTTGACATGTTTTACGGCGATGATATGAGATTGTGGCGTGATGGGTTTGTTGAGAGGTGAGAGCTTGGGTTGGATGGGAGAGGTTACGTTCATGACGTCTTTAACGAAGTTCGGTATGCTGTTCGCAGCATGTGATAGATGAGTGCAAGCTGTGTTGTTATCGTCTCGTCGGACCTTGAAGAGTAAGCGGAAGAGGATGATGGCATGGCATGGCATGGGAAGAAAGATATGAGCAATTGAAGGTATGACCTCCATAGTGCCAGCCTTCATACAGCCAACGTTCTCAAGAGCTGTTCACAGACTCAAAGGGCTTATAGTTCATTGCGATACAGAGAACCTTATCATTACCAATGTTCTTCGGAGGATGACTGCTCTCAACAACTCCTAATTGAGGAACTCTTGCAGATGACCATCATGCACACACCAGTCTCTGGCCAGTAACATTCGCAGGCAACAGGAGAGCGTATCAGGAAACTACCGGATCGCTTACAGTTCCCCCACCGAGAAAAGTTGCGTAGCAAGCAAAGATTCATGACCCAAAACTCTCTTTGATAGACTGGTCCAGGGTGAGCAAGTTCCAAAGTATTGCGTTATTAAACAAACCCAAACCTCATTCCCGTATTTGTCAACACCATGGTGCTCGTATAGAATTACATAGTAGATACAGATCATTTCTTGCCCTTGCCTCGGCGCTTCTTAACGCTTGCGGCTGGACCGTCATCGTCTTCCTCCTTGATCCCTGACTTGCCCACCTCGATCATGGGAGGCTCACTCTTGTCACTAGCGAAATCTTCATGAGCGCTCTCACCATCTGTGGGAGCATCTTCGGCGGCATCGAGAACCTCTTTCATGATGCGCTTTCCCTCGTCAATCTCTCCGTTGAGAGCACCGCATGACATGCACCTCCATTGCCCGACCTCAGAGAGCGTTTTGGTTCCTGGAGGAGCTTGGCCATTGACAAGTCGGCATGACTTGCAGATGAGAACAATGCGATTCTTGGGCGCAGTCTCATCCTCGCCAAGAAGAACGTCAAAGATGCGATCGTACCAGTGAGATTCAGGGGGTCCGGTCTGGTATGAGGCGTAACCAGTGGGCATCGGTGGAGGCTGAGGAGTACCCGGGACGACAGGGGGAGGAGGAGGCTCAGAGAATTCGGCGTTGGGAGCAAACTCAGCACTTGGTTCCATAGGGTTTGGAGCCGGCACGGGGCTATGGGCGCGCTGGATGTTGGCTGTCGGAGGAGGGGGCATGCGCGTTCGTCCAGGAGCTCCCTGCGGAGGACCATTAGGGCGCAGCTTGTTGGGTGTATCGTCGGCATTCTGTTCACCATCCTTCTTCTTGCCCTTGCTCTTGCCATCAGCCCCGCCGTACTTCTCGATCAATTCCATGGTAGAGTCATATTTAGTGGCATCCTTGAGTTTCTGGATCGTCTTCGCGCGCTCCTGCTGATGGTCCTTGAGACGAGCGCTCAGGCTCTCGATGCGAAAGTTGTAATATGCGGCAAGGGTCGTGCGTGTAACGTAGATGCTGTCATGATCTCGTCAGCCCGAGTCGCATGCTCAGGGTTCAGGGAGGACTTACAGTATTGGGCCACCGGTAAGCCCGCCCCATTCGAAAGCGCCGAGATGGTTATATCCGACGACGAGTAGGAGGACGATCGCATAGACGAGATAGGCGAAGCTGAGGTAGAGTGTCCAGATGACGCGAGCGCGGCGAGAGCTTGCGCGGACCTTGTCGAGGGTTGCTTGGGTGTCGGTGATTTTGGTCGACAGGGTAGAGAGGGTCTTCTCGAAGGAGGCAGTCGAGGAGGATTCGCCCTAGAAAGCAGCCGTTAGCTTGAGCAATGAAGTCATCCAGCGACGACGACTTACCCCCCAGGGCCAAAAGGCCACCATTTTGATCAAAGTAACAGTGGGGGGAGATTTGAGGATAGAAGTACACAAAGGAAAGACGACAGAATGGAACGAAAATAGAAGGGAAAGTATGCCCAAGATTTGGGCGAAACAGGAAAAAAAGGTCGCGGTACGAAGAAAAGGTTGGAGAAGTGAAGGATAGACAAGAGATGTGATGTAAAGGAATGGTGAAGTTGTGACTGTAGCTTCTCGCCAGGAGTGACCTCATTCAGCTGAGCTTGAGCATGTGGGCAGCCTAGAACAGATTTGAGAATCCAGGCAGGACCCGAAAGGACAGGGAGGGAGCTGTAGCCTGTAGCCTGTAGGGGCCTGTAGTGGCGCCACCGATGCCAAAATTGGAAGCTTGAAGATCAATTGAGCTTAACAACCAGAGGGAACTTGATGACAGTCATGGCTAATAAATTAGAGGTTTCAATTGACAGGCTCATGCTCAAGATGTAATGACCTGAAGTACTTGAACTACTCAAGACTACTTCTATTCGGGTCCGTAGTAGAGTGACTTATCACTGTTCCATATTGAACATCAAGTTACAAGTTACAGGTCATGTTCCAGGAGAACGAGTTACACAACCTGCAGCAATGGGTCAGCCACCTGGAAAGATCCTGAATATCCTTTTAATGTCTTGTATCCTCCGTATCTAGCACAAAAGCCTCCATATATCAAGGACATCGAATAACTCTCAATCCGAAGGATACAAGCCATCGCTGACATGGAAACGTGGAATGCGGCCCCTGAGCGGCTGAGCCACAATCATTAAACGCCACAATCCTACCCCAGACATTTGACGGGATCGGTCATGGCTCGGAAGCAAGTGCTGTAACTCTGTCCATTGAGACCCTGCAACTCCTTTCATCAGGTAACAACTGCCAACTTTCGCATTGTCATGAAGGCATTTTGTTGAGTTGCTTACTTCTTTCTTCACATCTCTCTTCTATACTTTCTTTTTTCTCTTTGTATTTTCCTGCCTCAAAGATTCGTATTTAATATTTAAATTACGCGCGTCCCTTGGTATCTTAAGGCGTTGGTCTTTGACCCAAGGGAGCCATCATGTTCCAAGTTAGTTCTCCGTGATAATTATCTATTTATGCCTCATATGGGCAGCGACTAACATGTTCCAGCGGTTCAAAAGCGCCATCGACCGGACCATCGCCGAAGAACAAGCCCGCTCACAGACAGCTTCGCAGTCCAGGAGCCCTTCGAGAACCGGCTCAACATCGTCGCGCAAAGGTGATGGTACACCAGCTCAACGCGCAAAGGCTAGGAAGCAAGCTGCAGATGCTGGTGACGCACCTAACCCAGACCCTGCCGTATTCGAAGCCGCTTTTGTGATCGACGACGAGAGTGAGCCGAGCCGAGCTGCTACCCCAATGCCTCCAGCTGCGAACGACGATGCAAAGATCGATAATGGCAACACTCAGAACAACGGATCGGATGAGAAGACCGCAGATGCTGCCAAGGATGAGGCCAGTTCGGGCAAGAACCACGATGGTGGAGCTGACGCTTCAGCAGCCAAGCCAGAGGCGACGAAGTCTCAAGAGTTGAGCCCTGAGATCCGCCAGAAGCTGCGCAAACTGGAGAAGCTCGAGGCAACCTATCCCGGTAAGGCCATATCTACGAATGCGCACGCCAGGGGAAGAAAACTAATACATGTTCAAAGAATTACTTCGATCTTACCGTGTTGCCCATAGGCGAGCGACAGCAATCGAACCATTCGAGAAAGCCCTCCGAGAAAACACCCCCTTGACTTCTATCAGCGACCCCGAAGCTCTTGTCGAGTATCTCAACCAACTGAACCTCCGAAGCGACATGGTGATGCAGGAGCTGAAGAAGGTTTCGACAGATAAGGAAGAGTTGCAGAAAAAGCACAACGAAACCGAGGAAAAGGCCAAGAAATTAGAGGAAGAGCTTGCCGCACTCAAGTCAGGAGACTCTACTCAGCCAAAGACAGAGGAATCTGAAGCTCCCAAGGACGATAAGCACGAAGATACACCCCCTGAGGTCCCCGAAAAGTCTAAATCTCCTGTTTCCTCCGTCATCGGAATGTTCTCGCCCAAGCATAAGCCGCAAAGGCCTCTATCTGAGGTTACTGAATCCAAGGACAAGAACGAGGAGTTCTTCTCTTACGACGATGAAATTCCCCAGCTTCAAGCTGACCTTACCTCGAAGTCTGAGGAAATTGAGAAGCTCAAGTCCGAGGTCGAGGGTCTCCAGAAGGAGCTTACTACCGTCAAGGAGAACAGCGCTGGCCTGGTCGAGAACTTGGAGAATGCGACTCGGGAGCTCAGCGAGTCTCGCGATGCTGCCGCCGCCAAGGAATCCCTGCTGACCCAGCTTGATGAGCGCAACAAGGAGATCGAGTCTCTGAACCAACGATTAGAAGAGGCGCAAAAGCAACTCAAACAGCTCGAGGAAGACAAGAGCACGCATATAGCCAAGGTTGATGAATTGGAGGTTTCACTTGCTTCATCAGACAAGCGCGCGAGCGAACTGGACGCTGAGTTGGCCAAGGCCTCAAACGCAAAGAACATCTCCAAGAAACTGATCGATGACCTTAACAGCCAGATCGAGCTTCTGAAGAAGGAAAGGTCTGAAAGTCAGACCAAGATTGACGATCTAACCAAGAAATTGGAGTCGAAGCCTGTTCCTGCTACACCCACTCCTGTTGCAACTCCAGCGCCTGCGGCTTCACATCCTGCCGCGGCTACGGGCGGCGGGAATAAGAAGAAGAACAAAAAGAAGAAGGGCAAGGGCGGTGCCGGCGGTGCTTCTGCTGCTCCAGCTGTAGAGGCCGCTGTGGAGACTCCTGAGCCAGCAACTCCCGCTGAACCTGAAGGAAATGCTGAGCTTGAGGCTGAGATCGCTAAGCTGAAGGAGGAGGTTGCTGAGAAGGATACGCAGATTGAGCGTCTGAGCAGGAGGCGCAAGACTGAGGAGGACCTGCGCGAGGAGATTGAGTCGCTTCAAGAGAACCTGCTCACAATTGGTCAAGATCATGTTGAGGCCAAGGAGAAGATTAAGGAGCTCGAGGCTGAGAAGTTGGAACTTAAGACACAGATTGCTGATCTTGAGAAGAATATCAACTCATCTGCTTCGGATGCCGAAGCTAGCACCAAGCTGCGAAGCGAGATGGATTCGTTGAAGACGGAATACGACGAGCTCAAGGAGAAGACGAACACCCTGCAAGCCGATCTGGGCGCTGCTCAGCAACTGGCCCAGAACCGATTCAAGGACCTTACAGAACTACGTGAGGTGCTACAGAAGGCGCAGCCTGAGTTGAAGAGCCTGCGCCAGGAGTCTGCTACACTGAAGACTACGAGGGAAGAGCTCGCAACCAAGACCAAGGAGCTCAAGGATATGGAGAAGCGAGAGAAGGATCTCAAGCGAGATGTGGAGCGTGTTCAAAAGCTTGCGTCGGACCGCGAGACTGAGATTAAGGGTCTACAGGAGAAGTTGGCAACCGAGACAAACGCCAAGCTTCGTCTTGAGGATGCTCAACGGGTATCTGGACGGGATCTTCGCCGATCTGAAGCTGAAAAGGTTGAGATTAGTGCAAAGGCCGAGAAGACGGAGCAAGAGATCAAGGCGGTTCAGGAAGAGCTCGGCAAGCTGCGACCCAAGGTGAAGGAACTTGAAGAGCAGATGAACAAGTTGAAGCGGGAGAAGACGGCAGCGCAAGAGGAGGCCGAGTTCAAGACGCAGCAGTACAGCAATGCCCAGGGCCTTTTGAGTAGTATGCGAGACCAGACGGCGGAGATGTCTGTGCAGTTGAAGGAGTCCAAGTCGCAGGCTGAGTCGCTGGAGGAGGAGCTTGCTGAGGTTCAGCGACTACTCCAGGAGCGTACCCGTGAGGGTGAGACGATGCGACGACTGTTGGCGGATGTGGATGAGCGTGCCGATAACAAGGTTCGAGAGATGAGGGCACGAATGGAGGCAGCTGTTGAGGAGCGAGATCGAATCGAGGACGAATCGAGTACCCTTGCGCGACGCAAGACACGCGAGACAGAAGACTTGAAGCTGAAGCTGAAGGATCTGGAGCGCGAGGTCAAGACTCTGACACATGAACGAGATGAGCTCGAGCAACGTGAGAAGGAGTGGCGCCGACGACGAGAAGAGCTTGAATCGGTGGAAGAGAAGGCTGAAGCCGAGGCGGATGAGCTCCGAACAACAGCATCACAACTTCGCACAGCTTTGGATGCATCAGAGAAGCAAGTTCGCGATGTGGAGAAGCAGCGAGCTGAGTTACGACGAATGTTGGAGGAGTCAAGGCAACGATACGAGAAGCTATCCAAGGATCTCAAGTCAGCGCAGACCAAGCTCGTAGCCAGTTCAAGCCGCAGTTCGTTCGACTCGGTGCGAAGCGGAAGCAATGGCTCGCCAGCGGCTGGTGGAGCTCCAGATACGGTCTATCTAAAGACAATTCTGCTGCAGTTCCTGGAACAAAAGGATACCAAGCTAAGAGCTCAGCTTGTACCGGTGCTGGGCAAGCTATTGCGCTTTGACAAGTAAGTATTTACTACCTTACCTACAACCTTGATGGACATTGGCTAATCTAGTGTAACAGGACGGACGAGCAAAAGTGGCAGAAGGCAGTGCAGCATATCGAGGTTAAATAAATGATGCCTGGTGAAGGGGACTTGGAATGCATGGAATGGCGTTTGGTTTGGGTAACGCCGCTGAGGTCTGTAATGAGACGATATCGGATACAAGTGTAGGATTACTGTGAATGAACAATCGAGTGCTGTTGGAACTGTCAATGTAGAGGATCGTGATGGTGTTGATGTTGAAGCTATGGTGGGGCACCATCTTAAGCCCACGCCTCCCCTTAGCAGTCATGACACGCTATGAAGCCATTACTGCATCTTAGAGGCCAATTCACCCGTTGATATCTAAATAAGGTAATTTGTGGCTTGGCTGATCAACGTTTCTTCAACCTTTTCTCTGTAAGCTTGTGAAGATCGCGATGAGTACCGATCAATTCATCATATTGACCCCACGTCGACGTCATGATAGAGCCTCACACAGCAAAAGACTCCAATTGCTGTTTCGCCTTGTCATACCCTTTCTCTCGCAATTATCGGACCACTTCCTCCGCCATCTTTCGTCATGGACTGAAGCTCCTGCTGCAGAAGAGAAAGTCCTGACCTCATCATGAGCTCGTCATTGGGCGTACGGAGGCCATAAGATGCGCATTGTTTGAGCTGCCAGCTCTTGCCAGTTGCAGTTTCTACTTTTTATTGTGTAGCTTCCCCTCTTTTTATCGAAGAATTGTTTGTTATAAGAATCATGTCCAGGCAGTTTCTTAGACTTGGCTCCAGAAGCTTTCTTGCACCTTCACTTCGCCTTACGACTCCTTTTGTTAAGAACTCTTGTATCACAACTTCAAATCAACTACGAACTTTTGAGTCCAGTGCCAGAAGGGACTTTCAGTACACTACAAATAAAATGTCAGGAACACAACCAGCAAGTGGTGGTGAGCACCGAGACTTTTCTCGAGATGCTTTGTTTGATCTCTCGGGCAAGGTTGCTCTCGTAACAGGTACGTCTATCAACGACATGCTCATTGCGCAGTGTGCTAACAGATACAGGTGGTGGCTCTGGTATCGGTCTCATGGCTACTCAAGCCCTCGCCGTCAACGGTGCAAAGGTCTACATCACCGGCCGCACAAAGGAGAAGCTCGATCGCGTCGTCGAGAAGTACGGCAAGAACATCGCCGGCGAGATCATACCCATCCAAGCCGACATCGGTAACAAGGAGGGTATTCAGAAGCTCTATGAGGAGTACTCCTCCAAGGAGAACTGCCTCTGCATTCTCGTCAACAACGCTGGTATCTCAAGCAACTCTTTCCAGGTCGAGGCCGATTCTGCGCAGGAGATGAAGGAGAACCTTTTCGATAACAAGGATGCTACGTTTGAGGACTGGAACTCGACTTATAACACGAATGTTACGGGTGTGTACTTCACCACCGCTGCTTTCTTGCCTCTTCTGCAGAAGAGTAGTGAGAAGCATCAGGGCTGGAGCTCAACTGTCATCAACATCAGCTCCATCAGCGGCCTTATCCAGAAGTCTCAGCACCACTTTGCCTACAACGCCTCCAAGGGTGCTGCCGTGCATCTCACACGCATGCTCGCCGCCGAGATCGTCAGCAACAAGCTCAAGATTCGCGTCAACAGCATCGCCCCCGGTGTTTTCCCCTCTGAGATGACCACCGATGGCAGCGATGAGGCGCAGAAGAGCTTTATCCCCAAAGAAAAGTATGAGGAGAAGGTTCCCGCTGGACGGGCTGGAAAGGATCAGGATATGGCTGCTACAGTGCTGTTCTTTGCTACGAACCAGTATTTGGTGGGACAGACTGTTGCTGTTGATGGAGGTTACACTATTGCCGCTGGTCAGTAAGGGAAGGGGACATGAACTGTACTATAGAAGGACATGACATAATGAATCAACCGTAATGATTGCCAAAGACAACTACAATTCGTGAGGGGGTGATTATATTTTCGGTGGTCAAATGGGTTATATTCACTGGCATAGCTGCGGCGCGGCTTGCAAAGCGAACACCAGCTGGAAGTGAAGGAAGGATTCTCAGTCGTGGTAACATGTCCCTCCAGCTTGAGGCTGTATTAGTAGAAGTTACAGCGCGATAAGAAGTTCAGTAGAGATCGTGTACCCTCCACGTCGATTCGCACGGAGAATCACTTGCTAAGGATGAAACAGCCAGTGAGCGATAATGTCAATCGATCTTCTAAAGTGACTACTGACTGCCCAACGCCATGTCATTTACCCAAAAGACAATTGCTAAAGACTGATCTCTCCATTTCGTAACCTCTAAGGACACTCACTCAATGCAACCCGGATTGGCAAAGAAGCAGCTCACCACCCCCAACAAAAAGAAAACAACGCCAACGACCTACAATTTCGGACGCCAAAAATGCAAAAGAGAAACTCCGGTACAGGGAATCGAACCCTGGGCTCCGCGGTACTTGGATCTCTCAGGTTATGAGAGCGCGAAATGTTAGCCACTACACCATACCGGATGCTAATTGGTTGAGAGTCAGATTTGCAGATTGAAACTATATTCGCAAGACCAGATTGAGAGTTAAACAAAATCGTGAAGAGTCAATAATATCGTGATAGATGATGGGGTTCGACTTGGCTCTCGTAAGGGCTACATACCATACAGAACGTTATGGCGACTCTGAGAACTCTGATCACCGTGAGAAAGGTTATGAGGAAGTCTGTGAAGACTCGTCAGAGATGGCAACGAAAGCGCACGCCCTGCTTCAAGACTTTAACAAAGTCAAGCTTGCAAATTAAGAGTCATCTACAGCCTCACTTTCTACCAAGTCATACCTCAGAGTCTAAACCTCGTGACTACGTGTTCTCATTCCGAAGTTTACACTCTTGTCGACTCATTGCATCCTCCTTGGCTCATAGCACGTCATTCACAACAGAACATCTTCTCCATGGCATCATATAAGCTTTCATAAAAACACCGTGCTTCAACTGTATTGCCAACATAGGGCTCCTCTGTCAAGACAAGAATACTTCGTAAACAAGCTTCATTATAAGCTTCATCAATCGTCCTTCACGCTCTGAATAGACACGTTCACATTCACGCCTTTCCCGCAACACAACGTGTCTTCACATAAACCTCCATCATACCAACCATCACCTATCCAATCCCATCTATCCCTCAATGTATTCCTGTATTCCTCTTGCATCGTAACTCCCATCATCCCCAAGCCACAGCGCCACATCTTAACTTTTCTTTTTCCTCCCATCTTGCTCCACCCGATAAGCTCCCGCTGTCTAACTCCACCACTCACCAGAATCCCTGGCCTGGCCTTGTCCATCCACACTCCCCCCCTCCCCTAGCCAAAGTACACTTTTGGTGAGACGTCACTGGGAATGTACCTTTTTTCGCCAATGGCTTGGTCTCCCCCCGCTGCAACGGCGGCTTCACCCGCACATCAGGTCGAAAAAGGGAACATGCTTAGGTTATGTTCCTTACCTACCCAGAAATATGGCTCACGCTTAACCTCTAGAGGAAGCGAACCGGCCCCCAAAAGGTAGTGTAGGGCTGAAGGGATTTTCTTCCAAGGGCCCTACGTGCATTTGGTCTTGCGACGGGATGTCAGGCAATCTTTTTTTGTCTTTCCATCAATCGGGTCAGCGTTCTCATCGATCTCGCTCATAGACATTTCATCACGAAACATTGCGCTGCAGTAAATGTTTGAATAAACAATTCATTTCTCAATTGTCTAGCTAATCCCTCCAAGAGGGTAATCCAATCTCTGCTCAGGGTCAGAAGGTTGTGCCTCTGCCTAGTAGCGCGCCGGCATACAGTCGATACTCGTTGACCTGAGACCATCCAGTGATGTGCAAGTCCACGGCCTTGAAATAGCCATCACATGTACGCACAACGTTTGCATCCTGGTAATCCAAATAAAATGGCTCCCATCACCCCAGTCTGCTGGGAGGGGCCATACACAAAAACGCCATACATCCATCCATGCTGTACCTCGTTGTCCACAATCTCTCGCCCTTGACAACCTCGAAGATGACATGACTTCAGAGGGGCGAGGTGAACAAGACAAGACCGAAAACCATGATAGAAAATGAAATAAAAGAAAAATGTGGAGTGGTGTGACATGATCGCAAAGGGGTCAGGGTCAGTTATATATGCACTCCGGGTATCATCAAGATAAGAGTCCCTAATGCTATGGTGTATCGCCCAAAGGAGAAAAAGAAATTGTGCCGTGATTCCGATTGATTCTCGTATCCTGATACCCAGCCAGATGGGTTCGGTAGAGAATGATGAGATGAAACGAAATGAAACTCCGATAACAAGCATCGTTGCTCCGAAAGACAAGCGGCAAACAAAGGAAAGCCAGCTTAATCAAGGCCGTGGCGATCGACTTTCAAAAGCGTCCAACTTTGTGAAGGGCACTAGTTCAGCTTGATGTTCTCAAATGGCTCCATCCATTTCTTTTGAAACCAACCGGCTTTATCAAAAGCAGTCCACAGCTTGGAGGCCTTGTTGACATCAATCTTGCAAGCCTGTTGGGCGTCGGTCTTGCGGAAGTCTTTCATTCGCTTATAACAGGAGAGCCTGCTGATGAAGATGCGTCTCTTGCTGGTAAGGTACGTCGCACAGTCAAGTCGCAAATTGCTTGCCAGCGTCAATTCGTCAGGATGAAGAAGATTCTGATGAGGATCGTTGCTGTTGTCGAGTGGTTGCCCCTTCCAGTCAACCTTGAGAACGGTTGATCTGGCGGGGAGCGACTCCAGCGGTGGACAGAAGTTCGGCAGTGCTTCGAAATCCTTGTCTGGGCCTTGAGCGCGAGGTTTCGGCTCGGCGGTGCCATTGACACTGACTTGGGGTGTTGGTCGTTTAGGGCTGTTGGTAGGATGAGCGCGAATAGATCGCTGGGGAGGTTTCTGAACCCGATTATCGGTGCGAGGCCGAGATGTCTTTGCGGCTTTGGCTACCAAGGGACGAGCGCGTGCTTTAGCTTGAGCGATGGCACGATTGTCCTCACGAGCTTGCCTATTTACTTGTAGCATCCATGCCTTTGGGTTGACTTCGTAGTTTTTGTTGAGTTGCGATCGAAACGAAATCACAAGCTCGTAGTCGTTGCGTGTCGGGGGTTGCACCTCAATGAAAATCTTCTCGTCAATGTTCTTTTGTATGTGTTCATCAATCGTTCGACTGTGATCACGATCCTCAAGGGTTGCAAATAGAGGAGTCTGGGCCGGACTGGAAGGCACCTCATCGGATGGGTAGAGGACGGGATCCTGGATTGAGTTTGTTGGCGTCTCGGTGGTGGCCATCGCTCTGTTGCAAGGCGAAATGGGAGGAGACATTGGCATTGGATGCTTTCCTGAAGCGTTCTTGCTAGAGGAGTCGTCGACCTCTCCAGTGTTGTGATGGTGGTGATACACGTTTCCGAAGCTATCGAGAGCTTGATCTGGAGGCGACATCAGACTGCCAATATCCAACTTCCTGGAAGGGATTGAGGCAGGATGGGTTGGAGGACCCATTGCGCTGGGCGTTTGCGCGTTGTGAGGAGAATTGGCCGCCATTGTTGTGCTGTTGTTTGTGCTGTTTGACGGGCCGGATGATGAGAAGGGAAAAGGAAGAGATTGAATAGACGGGAGAGACGAAGTTCGTTCAGTCTGCAATTTGACTGACGAGATTGTATTGTCGTCGAAAGTGGTAGAAGGTTGCATGGCGCAGATAAAGCGAAAGTGGTTTGTCAGCCACGAGATGCAATCAGTCACAATACAATGGCTGTGACGTGGACAATAGATAGTGTGGCGAAACCGTTGAAACCCTGTAGAACAATCTAAATGGGCGAGGGGCTCTCAATTAATAGGCTCAAACGAAAAGCCTGAATAAGCCCGAATGAGTCTTGTCGACTTTGTTTGCGTATGCCCAACCCAAAAGTGTATGTAAGTGCGCTGTCAGTGACTGGATGGGCGCCTAGACCAGAGTAGGCAGCAACAGGGCGGCGAAACTGGAGGGGGGGCGAGGGGGGCGGAGTTATAAGGAGGGGGGGTGTGAGATCTTGAGGAGACCCTCCTAGTCTTTTGGTGCTTGTGAGTAAGATGTGAGGAGTTGTAGCGCAGGACTGTCGACCCAAGGCAGCGGAGTTTGCTTCGGCGTTTAGTGACGAATTGCCTTTACCTCCGAGACGAATTGAAGAGTGCCAAAGATGCGTCCTTCTTTGAAAGTGGAAAGGGCAGTTCTTATTAGAACGCTGAGCCCAGAGTGATTCGAGTGTGTAAGTGCACGTAGGTGCAATTGTCAATGCTGATATGGGTATGGGGTGATAGGAGTGTCTGGGCACTCAACAGGCGGGGCCAGGGGTACATTCAATGGGGGACAACCGTATGACTGTAAAAGTGCAGTACAATTCAATTGTTGCAAGTCGACATGCGATTGTCGATAAGGGCGAATGAGTAGAGTGAGAGGTGCAAAGCAATGGGGCCTCAACAGAGATTCCCAAGGAAGATAGAAGGCTCCGAAAAAAAACAGTAATAGGGCCGGGGGTTGTTCGATCTGTGGGACGGGCACCGTACCAGACCGTATGACTTTTGAAAGCAATGACTCTCGAGCCAGTCGAATGGGCAATTAGTTTGGCCGCGACCTGACGACTTTTGAGGGTCGGTCGAGAGCTTGATGATGTGGCAGAGAAGCAAAAGCAGCCTATATGCCTGCCAGGTTGTCAATGGCTGAAGACGGGGATCACTGAATGGCCTGGGGCGCAGCGGGCAAAGAGAGACAGTTTTCCTGATGGATTCCAGGGCGAGTTCGCAGGTATCTGAACTGGCCTGAAGTTTGCTTGAGAAAAACAATTGTAGAGGTAGAATGCTCTCTCGGGCATAACCAGAAGATATATATAGCCAGGAGCGACGAGAGTTTGCGCGCGTGTGCGCATGCAAAAACGACAATACACGCCAGACAACAGAAAGTTAATAGAGGTAGCCAGAGTATGATGATGCTATCATAACAAAAGTATATCTTGCGTGAGTTTGTGATAGAGCAGATGTAGTTCGCTCAATTATGTGAGCGCAGCAATGCTAAGCGTGTAGAGAAGAGTTTAAGATGGAGGAAGCAAAGCAAAGAAAGGAGTCGCCTTTGTCTGGGCTCGGTAACAAGCCAGCACTGGCGCCAATGACGGACTCTTCCCTGTGCTTTAAATGGATGTCCAATTGGGGATAAATTGGGTTGCAATCGAACTTGCTACACGCTCGCAATGAATTGGAAGTTACGGTCCCTTTCCGTTGGTGAGGGCGTCAGAGCAGGAACCACTGTGACGACTGTGCGCTTGACAAGTAGTATCTCTGGTTAGGTTGACTTGATTGATCGATTGATTGGTTTGTTAACAAGCAGCTCAGACTCAAAGTCTTTAGGAGAGTGGGCGCGAGTGGGGGGCCAGTGGAACGAGATGTCGATTGATTGATGGATTGATACTCAAAGACGATTATTAGAGCGTGGTTAAAACGTCGCAGTGTGGGTAACAGAGCGCAAAGGGTCCATTAGCCAGTTACGAGCTCGTGCGATGTTGCAGGAGTCGTAGAAGTGAAGGAAGAGGGAAACCAGAAGAAAAGAAGGAAAGAAAACGAATGGCACTGAAAGGCGCGTGCCATGATTGATATGAATTGGATTGCTACTAACACAATACGCCCAGATGCTCGCAATCAATGGCTCCTACTCACTCACAGACAGTCTCACTCTCACTCACACCCAACACAGTCGGGTGGCGTCCTGTGGAAACGGAGGGAGATGGACGGGAAGGAGGGTGTCAGGATAGGGAGTGGAAGATCACTGCGGAGTGTGATTAGTAAAACAAACGTGAATTTTGACGCAGCCACAATCAAATGTGACAATGCAACGATGCAAAACTGGTTAATGGCACACCCCTATTCATGCATAACCAGTCTCCTTTGTTTCAATGGCTTTCATCAATGCCTGAAAATGGACGCTTTGTATCGTCCAATGGATATCTCAATTCAGCAGCCTTCTTTCACCCTTGCAACAGCTCGAATGACTAGAGGCTCATTCCTTTTCCTTTCCAGGCCCCCGGTGAGTGACTGCCTGCAGGCTGCACTCGCGCGGGTTTAGCTGCAGCTCACTCAGACTCACCTCGGATGCTAAACATTGGGACCCATGAATAGAAGTGGATCCAAGCTCAGATAGACGTTGCGACGGGCATTATTCTGGAAGCATAACCCATTGTGTGAGTATGAACGTTTTGGAGATGCTTCAATTCACAAAAGTTTATCAATTGACAAGAGCTTGTATCAATTGAGTCACACAGTTACTTTTCTTCCAATGTCGCAATCCCAATCACCTATCTGGTACTCCGTACTCAGCAGTCATGCGTGATCGTGCACAGGTCATCAGGGACCTCTCCTTAGCCACGGGAGGGGTGACCTCACTGGAACTTGAATACCGCTAGTGGGTGATTGACGGACGGTGACGGGCTGACCTGACCCTTCCCAAAATATCCCACCGTCTTGAAACTGGATCACGGGGGGGAAGGTGTGAGTGAGTGAGGTCTTCCTCCTTCCCTTCCATCAGAGTGAGTGCCTTGCCTTCCTCTACCTACCAACCTTTTCTTGTATTAGTTCAAGTAAGCTCTCAATTACAAACCATTTCTCATCCCGTCACTTTTCTGCCCTGCTTTGCCCTCTGACTCATGCCATTGTCCAATCCATCGTTACCTAGTCAGTGCAATTGGCAATTCGCCATTTTGACTCGGTCATTTCCCTGACTGACATCCGAGAGCTTCGGCCAGGAATTGGACAATGAAGTCAATTCCACCAAGGAATTCTGGAATAGGGTGAGTGGAGAATAATGAGGTAGCAGATCAGAGAGAAGCTCAACTTAATTTGAACAGAACCGACAATTTGCTTCAACCAACAGCCCCTACCCAGCACCGAGATTCAATAACGGAGCAATGTCAAAGAACCGTGTCGTGGGTACGCGAGGCGAGCAACGGGAACGGGCCCCAGTTTCACGGATACGGTAATCAGTCCAGCGTCTCCACAGAATGAGCATCCCATCATTAGTGGTCACCAAGATGCGATATCCCGCTATGTTTTCTCACGGTATACAAGCGAGACGCTGCGTTCTCGCTCTGCCTCAGCCCAAACCGCAGTCTCAATGTATGAGGCTGGCTTGCTGTCTCTGTTGGCCAAGAAGTGGTGATGCCAGGAGTTCGTCCACCATTACAGCCTTGGTATGCAGCATGTAGGTACACATCCCAACTAACCCATTTAGCCATCCGTCATGTCCTTCGAGGCGCTGAGTGGCTTGGTCAGAACTGGTAACGTCCACGAGGCCAGGCGCCAAATCTCCCAACCCCAGCTAGTTCCGAGCTTGGTATGGTCCATCTTCCTGTTCCTACAGAAGTCTCCGGGCAAGAGATCTGGCCTGCGTTTGTTTGGCGGCAGATGCGCGTCCCTACATAAACACATGCTCATATCTGGTCGATCATGATGCCATCTGAACTTTGGAAGATCACACGGGGGCCTTTGCGACACCATCACTGATTATCTTCAACTAGGTACGCTAACTCCCACGTTCCTCACCTACATAGGTAGTAGCCACTACACTGCAATGTACTCACTTGCACTTCTGCTTCTCGTCGATGAGCCAAACTCATCTTATTACCCCTCCTTCCTTTCTCTCACCTCCCTAGGCAAATCACGATCGCGACAGTGCCTACATAACGCCTAATATCTGAGGGGCGTGTGGTTTCTGCGTGTGACGGTTCATGTCTTGAATCAGCCCTCCTCTTGCTCGCTGCCCGACGCCCAATTAACCAAGAATGTTGAGCGCCGACTCTGGTTCCGCTGGCTGCGACTTTCTTATTTGTGAGTGCGAGACTAACAGGCTGTTATCTCACCGGTTGTCTTGACTTGCGGTCTGGCTTGACCAGTCTTGCCAACCTCGCCTACTCAAATCACTCTGCCTGCCTCAGCCCACTGCCTACCGTAACAGGCTCATGCTCGCGAGCGAGGTGGCAGGCTGAGCTGATATATGCATACCTCGCAATCTATGGCGACTGCATTCACGTTTGTGGATATTCAAGGATACAACCGGCCAATTCGCGCGCATTCGCGGAGCATCTGTCGTCTTCAACTCTCGTGGCTACCCGCTTGGTACTCTGCATCTCGTCAATCGTTCCCGCATCCGGATTCCCATTTCCAGACCCTTTGTTTCGGCCCTGAAGGGCCCTGAAGATTGCTTGTTGGGGAAACCCAGCGACCAACCCCACCATGCAACAGAGTCGTAACTTTTCTGACCGGGTGTTCATTCTCTTTAATCGATGTCGGCTCATGATTCAATTAGTCCCTGACTGGCGTAGACATTGCAGCGCAAGAAAGGAACATCAATAAAGTCCACCATTGAGTTGGCGATCGGTCAACAGCCATCGATTTCACAATTGGACATGCAGCAAAACTCCTTCTCGCGTTGTCATCTAGGACTATTCTGTGTAAGTCGTTGGGTGTTAGCCGATACCAACTGGCGGCCTCACAGCTGTCGTCCTCAAATTACGTGGCTCTCGACAGATGGCAATATCAGACGACCATCGTTCTACCATCAATTGCTCTTCAAATTCACATTTGAGCGCCAATTCAATGTTCATTATTCACACAATTGTGTACATACATATCGCTATGTTGCTTTCTCAGGCTTTGGGCTTCTCTCCCCCCAC